ATCACACAGTGCTTATCAGGCAGGGGCTGGCAGGGTGCTGTGCCAAGTGGAAGGGAGGTTTGGGAGCACTGGTTTGCGGTAGGCTCAGGATGACCCTGCTGACAGGGGAAGTTTTCCTTGCCCAACCTCAGCAGAAATACAAAATCAAAGATAGAAATGATCTGAAGAGCCTACAACTTGGAGAAGGGTGGTTATTCCCCCGTCTGTGCAACTGCAACAGATGCATGAGAAAGGGGGAGAGCAAAACTTGGTGCAACAACTTTGTAACACTGAGCTGTGGAAAGCGCCAGCCACCAGACTGGCATTCAGAAATACGGGGTACAAAAGCTGGCAAGTGTCAAAAGCTGAGAAACCTGAAGCAGGAATCCAGCAGTCCCAGCAGCCACGCTGCAGGGTCATCACAGAGATTGAGATTAAGGTTTGGTGTTGCACAGCTAAAGAGAGATTGCCTTTCCGGGCTGGCCCAGGAACACCTTGTGTGACTGCGGTGCTGAGCACTGAGACGGGTGGATACGTTGAAGGAGGAGGTGGAACAGGGACTTGTGTGTGGTTAGCACTTACTGCAAAGAGATGCCCCTTGTTTTGCACTGTTACTTGACTACAGTGCGATCAGTATACAGAAAATTGCCAATGGCATCTATCTGAACGTCCTTCTTGCAGTTACAGATGCTAGAACATATCATGCACAAAAACTAAAGTATGAACCAGTGTTACTAGGACAAAATGTAGTCAGCTCTCCTACAACCAGTGGGACACCTTCGCTGTAGGAAATATGTGTGTTTCCAGTTGGTATAGAAAAGACTATTCCTTCTTCTTGCAAACAGAAATGAAATATAGGCTATTTAAAGCAGCCACCAAGCTTTCGCCATCTCTCTTCTACTATGCCATTCCACCTTGGAGAAATTCAGAGGGAAAACTCCATTTCTAGTTGAACGCCTGAAAGTAGTTCTCAGTGTTTGCTGCTCATCTGACTTTTGCAGGGGGAGTAGGGCACGTTGCAGAAACTTTCAGCATTGGCCTGTTTCCTTCGTGATCAGTTTGATGGCATTTGTATCTGTCTTAACTGCTAACCTAGTTGTGAGATGGTAGCAAAAATATGAAGGGTTTCTCAAGAAAAGGCTACAAGACCAAGTGTACCCACAGAGGTGGCAGGATCTCAGCCAGCATGGGCCCAAAGATGATGGCAAAGTTATTTGAAATCTTCTCTTTGAATTATTTAGCATGATTCCTTTCTGAGATATTTTAGAGTTGCTGGTTAAAATGGAAAGTCTCACAGCTTCAGCTTCCCTATGGTCCTTCGTCAGCCATCAGCAGAGGTCAGCTTGTGGACGAATACAGTCCTGGAAGACTGGTAATACTCACGTGTATCAGGCAGGAAGGGCAGATTGCGGTTGGTTTGGGGTCTAGACAAAGTGCCGGTGCTACACAGTGTTATCAGCAAGCTCAGCTCAAGCCAGGTCTTCCAAGGAAATGATTATTGGGCTATTCTTTTTCCAATCATCTTTTGCTAACCTGTATGTTACTGTTATTTTAGCAACTGATTAAAGCCTAGGTGCCAAGACAAGGATGCTGGTATCTACACTGCAAATTCTGTAATAAAGTATATTGTTAAGTCCTTTCAGTATTTTCTAGTTTAAAATTATTGAGTCCCCCTCACCCTCAAAAAAAAAGAGTCCAAATCAAGTTTGGGCTCAGCCTTGGCGTGCACTCTCCATGATGTGGGCAGTCCAGGAGCAGCCTCCCCGAGGGCCGGGGTCAGCAGGTGGGTATGGCTGGGCAAGCATTGCAAGCAACTAACAGGGCTGCTTTTTTGTCCTCTTCTTCCCTTTTTCAAGGATGAAGCCAGTGAGCAGCAGCAACGACGTGGCTATGGATGCCTTAGATTTTGATCGAATGAAACAGGTGAGTCGAAAGGTCCTTGGCACTCGGATTTGGCGAGCTACCCATTTTCCCCCATGCATGCGCTGTACAAGCAAAATAGCTGTTCAGTCTGCCGATTTCCTCTACAACTAGGTGCTTAGAGAAGGGGTAGCTGGTGAGCGGCACGAGAGCACAGTCTCACTGCTATTCGAGCAAGATGCCTGTACAGAAACGTGCAAATAAATATGCCAGCCTCTTCTGCAGCCCTGGCTGAGAGCAGCGCTAGGCTCCGAGCACCAGCAGAGGCGGGGGCACAGCACAACCGTGTTAAACTTGCAGTTTTCTTCCACCGCTTAGAAGGAGATTCTGAGCAGCTGACTTGTGTTTTGTCTCATCAGGAAATATTGGAGGAAGTTGTAAGAGAGTTACACAAAGTGAAAGAGGAGATAATTGATGGTAAGAAAGAGAAAAATTATTATTTTTCTCACCTTTATGACTAATTTCCTGTAGATAAGATGATAGGCACGGCAGGGAGTTCCCTGGTGTTCTCAGACTTGCCTGAGCAGCTCTGATTTATGTACACAACAGAAGGCCATGCATCTACCTTAACTGATCTTTGATTGTGACACTGTACTCACATCCTTTATTTTTATGCTGTTGACAAGCATTTTCACCCCAACTTGTGAGAAATTCACCGGCCTGTGCTTCTCAGAGGTGGGACTGGGAGAAATGGCCAGCCCATAACCCAAGGCACATCAATTGATCACAGTCAGGGAGCGTGAAATCACTTTTAACTAGCCTGCCAAGCAGGAGGGCACAAAGGTACCTACCTGGGAATCCTTTCCGAGCATCCTCCGTAGGCCTCCCATGCTCAAAAATCTGTTTCAGCCCTTCACGCAATCTGAATAGCCATGTACTTTTCCAACTCGGTGAAAAGTGCAACAGCTGTACTAAAAGTGTCCACATTTTTTTTATAAATTGCTCTGCAGTTGATGACAAAATGTATTTTTCAAGGCCGTCATAAGGCAGCATAATAACACTATTACTGACACGCACAGCAAAATACCTACTTGATGCCTGCGTTAGGGCATGTGAAGGTAGGTCCATGCCCACGCCCTGCACTCCCCATCTTAGCTTCATACAGAAGGGGAAATAGAGGAGACTGTGAAACAGCTAAACCCATGCCCCCTCCCCTTGCCCTAGCACCACGTGCCCACCATCAGCTGGGCAGTTTGGGGTGAGGACGCCCTTACCTGTACGCTACCGCCCCAGCAGCTTGGCCCTCAGAGACTCCCCGGTTCATTCCAGTGCAAAATAAGACATCCATTATAAATCGCAGATGCAACTTCTTAAGCCACTACTGCAGTTTGCAAGCAAACAGCTGACTGCTTACCCTTACCATCCGTTTACCCTCCACTCATCCTTTTACCGGCGCGTACGTTCTGCACCCTCTGTACTTAGCGTTCTCCGCGCGCTGGGCATGACGTTATGCACTAACTTTGTGGTTTGGTTTTCTAGCCATACGGCAGGAGTTGAGTAGGATCAGTACAACATAATGACTGCAAAGCATTTGGACGGTACTAAGAATGCTAGGAAGAGCGGATCATTTCTAAGTGTACCAAGGTCACGCAAGATGGTGAGAGAGGACACCGGCACTGTCTTTGTTCTTATACCCTTTTTATTAGCAGACTCAGCACACTTTGAAGCTTGCTGCTGCCTTGGATTCGCTTCATTTTAAAAGTCTTAATCTAAAGAATATTAAATTTTAAATTTCTGGATTTTTTAGATTTCATCTGACACTGCACATTGGATTTGTCAGCCTTTTTTGTATTTTGTATTTGCTTATTTAAATGTATTACCTTTCTTTTTAGTAGTAGATAAGAACACATGTGAATCATTTGCTTTTGATAGATGACTTCAAAGTAATTTTACTAGTAGTCTGCAATGTAAATGAAGATCCTTTGCCAACAGAAATGTATTGTGGCATCACCAGAAGAAAACAGAGACATGTTAGTTGTCAGCCAACAAATTCTTTGTCTCAGAGTTATCACAATATAAAAAAATGGTACGTCAGTGCATCACAGTATCTGTGTTCATATTGGTAATAAACTGTTTATTGTCCACATGGCCCTGCCTTTGTTTGTTTCATTAATCGCTTCAGTTTCCCCACCTCAATGCCACTTGAATGTGTTTCCTTGCTGGCACAGGGAGGATGGGAGGAAGGCAATGAAGACTCGCCCTGCAGCTGCAGTGCCATGGAGCAGGAACGGAGAGCACGTGCAGAAACCTCAGTGACTTATTGCTGGTCAGTGAAGGTCAGTGGCTTATGGCTCATCACAGGCCACCACTGTCCTGCTGCATCTCCTGCCATCAGTAAAAAAATAAAAACACAAAACAACAACAACAAAAAAGTACCAGTCCCATCACCTGCACGTGTAAAAGCTCCTAGTAAATAAAAGGGGGTTGTTCATCTGGAGCAAGGCTACCAAAGGCATTAGGGCAGTGCTGAAATCACTGGTGCAACACCTCTGAACTAGAGGCTTAGGGGTGTCACTTGTTAATATTTCACACATCTGTTAACGCTGTGCAGCCTTTGATGAGCTTTATTTCATGGAAAGTGAAGTCTCATATCTGAGTACAGGATGCTGCGTCGGCACGGCTGAGCACTTAATAGCACACACCCACTTGTATCTATATCAGGTCACACTTTTTTTTTTTTTTTTCTTTAGTGCCATTCTTCCCATTCTTTAGTGCAATCCTGGGAATTTCTGCTCGACTTGGTTCAGCGCAAGACTTACAAGGCAGCAGCCGTGATACCATCTTCTCAACAGCTTTGTGTAAACGGAAGAAGCAATCGGAGTTCAGCTATTGAAGTCAGCCCAGCATTTCTCAAGCCCCCTGCCTTGCTTCAGGCCTTCCTGAAGATTTCGTGTTGAAGGCCACGTCCCAGGAGCTGCTTCAGGAGCAGAGCCCTCAAGAGGCAGTGGCCGCCCCCAGACCTCGCAGGGCAGTGTGGCAGGACGGGGCAGGACGGACTGGGCAGCCTGCTCTGGGTGGCCCTGCTTGAGCAAGGGAGGACCAGGTGCCCCCCAAAGGCCCTGCCAACCTACACCGTCTTGGGGATCTGTGCGACTGCCTTTAAGCAACAGGACACCCAGGCAGGCAGGGGCAGGGCGGGCTCGCAGTTACTTATAAACTTTTATCTGCTTTGGCATGGAGAGCCCGTGGTTATGCTTCAGCAGCCTTCAAAGCAGCCCCATTTGTCTTTCAGAGCCCTTCTTTTTTTTCTTTTTTTTTTTTTTTTTTTTTTTTTCTTTCTTTCTAGCTATACTGTAGATTAAATATGGGAATAGGGGAGAAATTTAAACTTATTTCAAGCACAAGCTCCAGGCCTGATTTGCGCTGGCTGTTTAGTGCCAGCTTCCCGCTTGGCTGGCTTAGCACAGTGGGACAGAAGTCCGTGTGGGAGATAAAGCTGAAAGACACTGATGTGCAACACAACACTGCAGCCCCAGGACCAGGAGGAAGAGACTTTCTGGTGGGAAGAACACAGCCAGGCACCAGTAACGGTGAAGATTATTATAGTCAGCTGCATAAATCTCACACAACAGCTGAGGTGTTCCTTAATTATAAACCCATTTAGCGGCACACCTGACAATGGCAAGTACTTTCCTAGACTGCTGCCTTGCAGGTGGTCACAACTGCTCTGTGAAACTCTATTTAAGGTTGAAGATGTTTGAGGAACTGCCACGGTTTGTGTTTTGCCTCAGAGCATTGCGTTGTGCCTAAGGTCAGCAAAAACTGCTGCCACTCGGGCTGTGTGAGGCCTGGATGCGGTGTGCCCCTACGTTAACATCAGCAACCTGCTGAACGTGAGCTTTTCTTACCCTCTGCTATCTCCACAGGCCTCCTGTGATTGAGACAACAAACTGAAGTCTGCACAGGGCCGCTTAGTGGGAGCAGAGCCCCGAGGTGCACGGGGACAAGCAGGGGGCCTGGCTGACAAGCAGTGACACCTCATCCCCCCGCCAGGTGCTAACCCAGCTCTACACCCAGCCGTGTCCCAGGGACAGGGGACAGCAGCAAGAAGAGGCCCGGGGCTCTGCCCGGTTCCAGCTGATGCCCCATGCTGCTTCCAAGCACAGCTCAGGATTAGCAGGGGTCAAAGCCGGTGTTTTGGTGGCTCTGGTGACAGGAAGGCAACGGGAGGTGGTTGCAACTGTGGCACTACCAGAGGATTTCCCCCTCACAGTACCTGCTCTAGTTTGCCTGTTCCTGCCGTAGGGCAGGGCGCCCCTCCAGGCTGTGGAGGTTCTGCTGCCACACAGCAGCCAGGGCCATTTTAGAGCATCAGAAACCTGAAAGGGCATTGACCATCTCCCTGACAGCTATTTGTCCATCATTTTTCCTCTTTTTGCATGGCCACACAATGAAGGGGATTTGTATTAATTTTTAACAAGTGGCCACAGGGAGGACAAGACCCCAACCTTCTCCAGCAGCAGCCACACTCATGGAAGCTCAGCTTGCCCCGCACACCCGCAGGCACCAGCACTTCCAGCAGCTCCCAGTCCCTGCAGCGAGCAGGGGCACTGTGGCACAGCAAGGTGGGACCACGACTGAAATGCTGATGGGAGGCAGGGTCAGAAGCGGCTGACAATTTTGGTTACTTGCCCCCGGTTTATACCAGAGCCTCTGTGTCAGGCTAGGCTGGTAATGTGCAGATCACGAAGGTGACTGCATCGCGGAGCAGCGAAGGGAACCGGAGAAAGGTCATTCCCCATGGAGGAGAAGTACAAAAGTCAGATTGAGGAACACAGCATAATCTTTATTATGGTTGTTATATTAGCTTGCTAAATTGGCTAAGAGAGTTGAGCAACAGCTTGCTAAGGACAAGGGAAGCTGAATACATGATGACAACGTGCCAGCAGCACTGGAGTAAATTAATAAAAAAGCCAAGCTCCCTGACACGAGCGCTGACACAAAGAAGCTAATGGGGGCTTCCATTACCAAAGCTTCTTTTATGGGGAAAAGGCACACTTCAGCGAAGTGGCAGAAGAAATCTGCCCTTCCTCTTCTCTTCCAGAAGCCCAACCCAGGGACCAAGCCAGGATCTGTGAACAAACTGGTGCTCAGCCCCTGCGTCACAGAGGATCCTGCACTGCTGAGCAAGTCTGGCTATTGACCTGACTGCCAAAACCAGAGGAATGAGGAAACTGCAGGAAAAGGAAAATATAGGTGGAGGAACCCAAACTGCCACAGGCTACCTCAGCTGCCTGTTGTGCCTGGCTCACGCAAGTCCAGAAGACTGCACCAGAATGACTCACTGGATCCAGGGTTGCAGGAGGGAGGGACAAAACTGAGCTTATTGGGGAAATCGGGCTTCCCAGGCCTAACAGTGTACTCTGAGGGATCAACATGACTGTAAAATAATCCTTTCCTTTGTAATGTACATGGGTTTCCAGAAGAAAAAACAGTCAAAACCATTAGAGGGATTACGCTGTCAGGTTGTTAGAGGACCTTTATAGATCTGTTCTCCTTTAAGCGCTTGGTAAGGACAGAAATTAGTAGTCAGCTTTCCAGAGTGCAGGGAAGAGCGAGTATCATGTGCTGAGTCTCCACAATTCATCCCTGCCACGTAACTACATTGAATATTAGATCCTAAGAACAGAAATGGTTTGAGAAAAGGTTTAAACAAAGTTCTGGAATAAAGGACAAACAGCAGCTACTAAAATAATGATCCAAATGTACAAAAATACATACATATTACATTTCATATACAAAATCTCTACCACCAGCCATTGTCGGACATCAGACACTGGATTAGACAGAAATGTGAGCTACAGGCACCCTTGTGTTCTCTTCTAGAGTATCATTTGCTACTGCACGCCAGTCATCCCTGCTTCCATGGTCCTGTGCATGCAAAGCATCTACATCACATCTGGCACGAAGAGAAACCTGCCCTCAGCTGCACACACATACACACACACACACACCAAATATTCTCCATTTGAAGCCCTGGGAAAAGCTTGTCCCAGGAAGTTAACTTAAAGTCTAGACCAAGATTCATGTAAGTACAGCTTGCTCTAGCGTAGTTTCTCAAGGTTACATATACAAATATCCTTTATTTAAAAGCAAAATAGTATCTAAAATAGTGCATCCAACTTAGGCACTTATCCTCTTGGTCTAGGGAGCACGTAGCAACATCATGCCAGCACAGAGGAGCATCCTTCTCCTCCCACACAACACTCAAACCACTCAAACAAGCAAACCAAATACCAGTGCAGCTCCTAGCTGGAGCTAGTCCGTTAATCTTCTTTTGCCAGCTTGCATTTTCTCTTAACCCTTGAATAGGGACTGATACTGTCATCAAAAACAAAGTCCCACAGGACTCGAATCCAGGACTGGTGATAGGGAAGGTTATCATAATATTCTGCTGCAATCTTCTTCACCTGGAAGAACAAGAGAGATAAAAAGCTGTTTAGCTGCACGGTGTCAGGTGTATTTCACTTTTCAGATCTGATAGCACAGCCCTAACCTGGAGTTACTTGTTATTGCTTGTGAGTTCCTGAAGTTCCTGAAGTTCAGCCAAATAAGATACACTTAAATCCATTTAGATACTTCGAGTTTGGATGCAAGTTCTGCCTCACAGTGCTAGATGATGGACCTCTGCCTTCAGTCAGAACCAAATTTCTCTCACTTGGGAGGTGGAGAGCTCTCCGCAGTGAGGTGACTAATCCACCCTACAAATTGCCAGCAATCCAACACTGCTGTATTTAAGGCTTGCAATACTTGTCTGCTGAGGGTTCTGTCGAGGAGAGAAATAGCAATCGAGAAAATGCCGGTGACACAGCCTGGGCTATGCTTGCCTGTTTTTTTTTTTTTTTGTTTTGTTTTGTTCTGTTTTTTCTCCATTCTGTTACCCCCATGCAAACCTGCAAGGGCTACCTCCTCCAGGCAGAGGAGATCCTGGGGGTGGTCTATTCTCTTCAGCCCAGTGTTAAAAATGCTGCAAGACTCCTAGGGTAGATCCTGACTTTCACAAAGCTTTATCCCTGTTACAAATCCACAAGTTTTAAAACTGTTGCCACCACAGAAGCATTGCATGTTTCCGTGGGTGGTGGTGCAGGAGGAGCAAGGTCAGAACCAGAGGACAGAGGTTTCAGACCTGGCAGGTTTGGGGAACTATGAGAATTCCTGGGTATCAGTGTTATCTATAGTACATTTCACCAAAAAAATAAAAACACCTATCTGAGCATTGTTTTATTAAAACTCTACTTCCCAGACAAACAAAGCTCTGTGCTAAAGCAGTTTATCTGGCTGGACAGCACGACTTCTCTCTTTAAAAACACTGCAGAATTTCAGAGCCAGCTACAAGGAGCCCAGCAAAGACTTCCAGGGAAATTGTAAATTTAGAGCTACACATAAATAGCCCTCTGGGAGGAGGGACTAGTCTGCATCCACTGGTGTAATGGTGTAGTCTTAACGCAGCACTTTGTGAAAAGGTAAGATTCACAGACGGAGCAAAATTATCACGGAAGTCATAGACTTGTAGGGGTTGGAAGGGACCTCAAGAGATCATCGGGTCCAACCCCCCTGCCAAATCAGGTTCCCTGGAGCAGGCTGCCCAGGTAGGTGTCCAGATGGGCCTTGAATATCTCCAGAGGAGACTCCACAACCTCCCTGGGCAGCCTGTCCCAGTGCTTCGTCACCCTCACCATGAAGAAGTTCTTTCAGCCTGTTGATGCAGAACTTCCTGTGCTCCATTTTGTGGCCATTACTCCTTGTCCTGTCCCTACAAACCACTGAAAAGAGGTTGGCCAAATCCCTCTGTCTCCCACACCTGAGGTATCTATATACATTGATGAGATCCCCTCTCAGTCTTCTTTTCTCCAGGCTGAACAGACCCATGTCTCTCAGCCTCTCCTCATAGGGGAGATGCTCCAGGCCCCATATAATCTTTGTGGCCCTCCACTGGACTCTTTCCAGGAGATCCCTGTCTTTTTTTTGTACCAGGGAGCCCAGAACTGGACACAGCACTCCAGGTGAAACCTGGAGTAAATTACAAGCCAGCGCTGCTCACTGCTGGTTACGTGGTTAGCTCAGCTCCCTAGCAGTCACTTCGCTGTGAGGCTGGTTGGGTAACACAAGTTTTGTTATGATCTTTTACTTCTCTACTTCAGCCCTTGTGCACTCCCTGTGCCAGTGGCATGGTAGTGTTGTGTTGGAGGAGGGAGATTTAATTCAGGTCTCATTATGCCTGCCACCGAATACCTATGACTGCCTGATAATTTCCTACATCCTGCTTTCAAGTGTTGGTCTGTACTTCAGAGGTGATTCATTTTCAGTGTGATGCAGACAACACCAACATTTCCCCTTGGATGCATTTGTTAATAGCTGGATGAAGGGTGATTTCTAGGCATTGAGTAGGAGCTCTGCAGATGCAGATTTAATTCCCTGCTCTCCTCCTGCAACCACAGTAAGAAATGACTTAATCTGGGGTTTGCATCCTCCTCTTTCCCAGCTGGGTAACTAAACAGCCAGAGGATGAGAGGACAAGAGAAAGGACTGTTCACACTGTAAGCTCCTTGGTGAATAAAGGTCACCAGTGAGGCCCTATGCAGACACAAAGGATGTCCCAGGTCCCCATCCCCAAAAGCTTCCTATGGTACACAGCTACCCTGGCTGAGCACTTGAGGAGATACCATAGTTTTCCTATTTTCCAAAGGAATGCAGCTGTTATCCAAGTGAGAACCACATTAAATTATTCCCATTCGTGATAAACAAGAAATGTCATCCCCAATTGCCACAAAACAGTTTTGCCACCAGAAGCTTTCCACTGGGAAGCGTGAATTTTGTGATCGTGCACACCATACTCTGGAAGCAGGCAGCCCAGTCTTGGCTGGCAAGCAGCCTGCCAGCATCAAGGGATGGAGGAGTTGCTTGCTCACCAAGCATATCAGTTTAACACCTCCCAACAGCGTATGGTGCCATCTCTTTTTGAATAAGTTCATTCTGGAAACCAGAGGAGATGGCTCAGGGCTTGCACTGGAGTGGGCTACCCATCTGTCGGGGCAAGAGCTCAGTAGCTCTTTGCTCCTGTCTCTGTTTAGCTTTGTGCTCAGCAGCACTTCGTGGAGGAAGGCAGGCAGAGCTTGCACCTTTTGCAAGGTCTCTGTGCTCCAGGCAGGAAAACTGCATGAGACGTACAGAAAGCAGGGAGAAAAGATAAACCATGATAAAATGTTTTTGACAAAGGAATGGTGAAGAGGAAAAAAATTGTGAATGTAGGTAGAGGGGACAGCTGAAGGATTTTTTTTATGGAAATGACAAGGAAGCATATTTGGTGCTTGTTTTCATTATACTAGTATATGGGAGGGAAAAGAAAAAATATATATATTTTCTCTTCTACAATGGATGTACACAAAAAAGGTTCCCAACAAAACTAGCTTATGGATTACCATTTGTTTCAGCATCTCCACATGCAAAACAAAATGATCTCCTCATTACCTTCCAGAGTAGTAGGCAGGAAGTGATTTATTTTTTTTCCCTTTAAATGCAGTCCCCTTTTAAATGCAACATCAAACTATCTTTATGAAGTATACTGTAGGCTAGAAAAGGCATCCCCCATGTCGCATTCTGGGTGCAGCACAAGACCTGTGGATGGCAGTTCTTCCAGGTAGCAATTTTTGCAACCAGTCTTACCATCATCTCAAAAAGGATGGTACTGTGACAAAGCATTTCTACATCCTGCCTCTGCCTTCCCCTTTCCAAGCTCTCCTTGTTGCTCTGGAAAGGCCCGTCTGCTTCAACTTCTTCCTCCCTTCTTAGAGATAGCAGCTAGAAGTGAATGAAAGCTACTGTGGAAGGACAACCCAAAATCAATGTCCACAATAAGCCAACGCTTGGCACCTGGTATATTGGTGCTTTCCTTCAAGTAGATCAAGGAGGTTAAGTAATGAATCTTTTGGGTGGAAACTTTGCTTCTGGTTTTGTGTTTGTAGAGCACACAGCAATGCCCCCATCCCGCTCCACAGCACCAGATAGACACGGAAGTAAAATACAACCTAGTATTTCACCACAAGTGTTACAGACCTTTTGTCCTGAGGCAATCCAGGAGTTAGAGATCCTTATCATGAGATAAGAAAATTGTTTAGAGTGCTAGAAAGCAGAGTACAGGAGTTCCCTCCATACTCCTTGACTGAAGAGGAAGAAGAACTCAAGCTAGCCCCCCTGGCCATCACAGGGTTAATGAAACCTGTATTGCAGAAGGAGTACATCTACCATGTTTTCCAGTCTTGTCTGTCTAATAAATCTGGTTTCGTACCATGTCTTCCACTTTTCCCACAAGCTTAATGAATAACTTGTTTGCCTCTGGTAACACAGCAATTTTTACTGTTGTTTGTAGGACGAGTACTGAGTTCCTTCTGGTTCTCCTGTCTCCCCTCACTGTTAGTCTGTTCAGTCCTTAAGATAATAAAGAATGCATCTTCTTAGTCACTTGGTGAAGAATGAAATTTTATTGTTCTAAGGCTTCACAGAAAGGCTAATCTGACCATAAGTCTATAGGTATTTTTTAAAGAGGTCTTTCATACAATGAAAAGTTTCGTGATCTCTTGTGTAATCTCTCATTATACTAGCGGGACAAGTTCTTACTGCACACTAATGTCACTCACTGTCACTCTCTGGCAGCTTATGGCACAGCTTACTATATTTCAATTTTTTCACAGTCCCAGGGTAAAGGTCTTTCTAGTTTATTTAATCTTAATTATTTAAACTTAATTATTTAAGTTTATCTAACATATTACTCAGAACATACTGGGTAGGACACCTGTAATAAAGGACAAAATTTACTTCTCTGATAAGCAAGCAGAAGATCCTGTTACTTTCCAAGCTTAAGATCCAGTTATTTTCTGATCCTATTTCTCCCCTGCTCTCTTTCATGCAAGAACAAAGACTTTCTTCCACTTTTTGTTTGCCAATATTTGAAGAAATGAGAAGTCATCCAAATCAAGCAATTCAATTATTAAACGTTTGAGTGCTTGAAGACTACGTGGAAAAAATACATCTTTGCTGAGTGAAAAATCTGCTGACCATTTAAGCAAGGTGAGATTCCTCCTCTACCTGTTATGAAGTTCATGCATTAAAGCAATTCAGGGAGAGTTTGTCCCCTCTCCTTCAACCAAAGAGGCAAAGTTTTTTGTCCTCAATTTGCAGTAAAGAACAGACAATGTTTTAATGGTCAAACTGTTTTCTACAACAGCTGTTTTGACAAAGGAGTTCCCCTTTCATAATAGATTTTCACTTGCAAATGTTCACTTGTCAAAGATTCAAGTTTTCCATATTGTTCTATCAGGCAAAAACGACTGACAGGCCTGGTATCTCCTCCACCAGCAGGGCAAGTCTCAGTTGCCCTAGAGCTAGAAACACATGAAAACAAGTCCATGAAATTCAACTAATAACTCCATCCTCTTTACACGGTAGTGCAGACACTTCCAGCTGCTACACTGCCTCGAGAAATTACTGCTAAGCTATTTGTGATGTGGGTGGGGAAGAGCTTTTCAGGTCTCATTTAGGTCTGGAGCAACAGTCCCAGCAAGTTCAATTAGTCACTCACCTCCCTTGTGTAAGATACAGAGCTTAACCTCTTTCTCTTGTTGTATTTACATTTCAGTAATCTAAGTATCTAAGCCTATCTAACAAGTTTGAACATTTGTAACTAAAGCTAAGCTCATGCATTTCCCAGCTGAGCTATCAGGTGTATCAGCAATAGGAGTGCCCGATGGGAGAACCTGACGTGAACGCTGGCTGCCCTGAACCCCACTGGGAGTAGCCAGCTTCTTCAGGACAGGCCTCTGGCACTCAAGGGGAGGCATTAAACAGAACTTCAGGCTGGATAGCTTCTTGTTTTAAACCTTTTTTGAGGAAGATTAACCCATAAAGCAGAGTTCCCAAACTCAATTTGCCATAAAAGTTGTGTCTGTGCTAGCATGGAGCTCACAGCTCCAGAGCTTCAGCCTCCTCAGCTCTGCCTCCTCCTCAGGAAGATGTTGCTGCAGTATCTCCTAAACAGCAGAAGATGTTTCCTCCCTGCTATGCCAGAAGATCTATGTGTAGGAGTAATACTCAAAGTCACGTACCTTTGGCACTGCGAGCACAAATGCCGAGGAACCCTCACATTAAAATCCAGAAGAGCAGCTACATTCTGGTGGTAGACTCAAAACCATTCCTAGACACCTGGGCTTTGCAAATTTGATTCCCACAACTGATAAAATGTAAACAACAGGGGGCTCGACTTTAGAAAGAGCAAAGCCACGGTGCTTTCCCTCTGATGGACCAGGCACCCTCAGTTTCTGTGGGTGGGGCAGCAGAGCTAAAACTAGTCATGTAGAGTGGGGATTTATTTCCTAGTGCTATTTGTGTCAAGCTGGAACACGCCCCAGCATTATGTCATCTCAAAAATAGACTTTTGTTTGATGTTAATCAAGCAATAGAGTTAATACATAGATTGATCATTAGACAATTTTCAAGTGGTGATTGCCTCCTGACTCACTTCAGATGGGCCTTTGCTCTTTTAAAGACTCTTTAATGAGAGTCAAAACTGGGTAGCTGAAGAAAGGCAGTAGAGAAATTTAGACTATTGCTTGAGGATCTTATAATGCAAACAAACAAACAAACAAAACCACACAACTACTCGAGCCCTCTGAGGCTCAGTTCATGTTTCCTCCAAATAACCTACATATTATAGCACTTTGGCAGCCATTTCTCTCAATGCCCTGGTTAAAAAGAAAGAATTAGAAACAAATTCAGAAAGCTTTCTCCTTTTTTCCTTTCTCTAAAAAAGAATCATCTATGATTTAGAGTGACTGCTTTGCGTCAGTTTAGAAGCCAGAAATCCAGTCAACTGTGCTCATGCTGTACTTACCACTGGCAACTTGGACCCAGGAATGCTGGGGAAGTCGTGGTGCTCCATGTGGTAGCCTACGTTAAAGGTGAGCCAGTTCAGAGGTCCGTAATAAGAGTAGGTCTCGTATCCTTTTAAAAACATGTAGTGTTCTGCTATGAAGTGCCCAGAAATGGGATGTAAACCCATGCAAAGAATTGTGCCTGCTATTAAGTAAATAACAGGTTTGAGCCCCCAAAGGTAGTAAATGGTAAGATCAACAGAAAACTGCACAATGGCATTAAAAATTTCCATCCGTGTGATTGCTTTGGGGTTCACATACAGCGGTCTCAGACTGTAGAAGAAAGGCTGGAGGAAGAGCCAAAGCAGTTTCCGAAGCGGTGTACAGAAGAACCAGCCTTCAAAGTCTGTGGGAATGTCCACATCCAAACTGTCCCCACCAAGGTACCGGTGATGGTCTATGTGGTATTTCTTGAAGGAGGCAGAGTAAGGGATACCGACTGGCAGGTTGGCAAAGATTGCAAACCATCGGTTCCACTTGGCCTGCTTGTTCCCAAAGGCGACGTTGTGTGAGATATCGTGGATAGCTAGTGTCAGTGAATGGTTGATGCAACCCCCAAAAGCATAAGCCCAGAAGAAAATCCATTTCCAAGATAAGTCTTTCACCAGATAGCATGCTAGAAACTGCGTAAAAACCATTCCAGATACAATCCACTTCAAGTGTGGATCTGGTCCCATCAGAGTCTTGATCTCTGGATATTTTGCTAAGGAGAAAAATGCAGAGAAAATCTCATTAATTCACAGGTAAACAATCAACACTGGTGCTCTTTATTTTTGTCACCTTAAATTTGAGGTTCTAGATTTATAAAATAGGAATTCCAGGGCAAAGTTACCACTACAGCAAAAACTTTATTACTGCATGGGCTTCCATCCCCACTTACAGCTTCATGTCCAGTGCATGTGTGCACATATATTGGATGACCCTGATGGTCAACAAGTGGCACCATGCACCCTCATGAGGATGAGTATTAGGATGTTAATAACCATTAAAGTAAGCTCAAAAAGCATCTTTTGTCAAGTTTTTCCACTTTTCTTTCTTTATGCCCAATCCAGATGCTATTTTCAGCAGCGGAGAGATACAGGTGCCTCCTTTGTAATCCTTTCCACACCTTGGTTTCAGACATACTAGCAGGGCAAGAGGGCTGTGCAACAGGCTCTCCTGGTTTTACTCTGTGGTTACATGACAATTGTAGCATTAAGAAAAGTTTCATAAGTGAGTGTTTGCCAGTGCTTACAACGTGCACAAGTCTTTGCACATGCTAACATCACTAGAAAATAAGTAATATTATCAGGAATTTTTAAGATACAGATTTTTTCTTCCCTATGTTTCCATTGATCAGTGCGTTCCCAAGTCACATACCAGAAAGAGGCATGAAAAATCACACAGCTAATCCCACATGCAGCCTCACAAGTACTGCAATACAGGATTAGAGGGACACGGATTAGACTTGCCAGGTCTGACTCATGTCAGTACAGGACCAGCTTACCAATCTTTGTAAAAGATCAATTGGATGGCCACCAAATATATATATATATGTATATATATATATATATAAGCTGGAATTCTTTATATATATATATATATACATAAAGAATTCCAGCTTATCTTCTGGGTGCTGCTCTTTCATCCACATCTCTTCTTTACAAACCCCCCACTTCTCACTCCCAGTGCTACCTTGCACTGGAATTTTTCCAGTTTAATGGCCTTTGCCCACCCATCAACCTCCCTGTTTTTACTCATACTCTGCATTTATCAATAATTGCAGCTCTCATAGATAAGACTGTAGGACAAGTCACTCATTCTGGAGCCTGAGGTTACACAATGTGTCCCTACAAATTTGATAGGCACATTTTATGAATAGAAAATCAAATGTCATCTGCCTATCACTGTGATACCGATGCCATAAAATGAGGTTAGGACGATTCGCATCTGTGCAGCTGTATGTACTATAAACAAACACTGGAGACAATACACATAACTTCATGTGACCTTGGAAGCAGTGCCAGGCACTGAGTGAGGGATGCAAATGAGTTGTTTTTTGTAGGAGTGAACCCTGAGGAGTCTGCAGCAGGACTTAAAGAAGCAGGTTGTCATGCTCTGCAACTATTCCAACAACCTTAGAGCCTGATGGTCAACTGCAGCCAGGCTCGACAGATGTGAAGAGACAAAGATTAAGTGTCATGGATGATGATGAGAGAAGGGATATCCTCGGTTCTTCCCCTTGTACAGACAAGGGGACAAAACCATCATTAGAAGTATTCAGGCAGGTGGGAAAGCGCTAGTAACACAACATTCACAAGTTACGCTAATTTTTTGACAAAAATCTCTTTTAAAATCCAGATTTTTATTTTCACTGTTTTGTTTTTGTCCTTTTTATTTTTTTTTCAGTTTTAGAAATTATACTTTTTCACACTAGAAGTGGTAACATGGTAGAAATTGTTCCCTCATACCTAGACAGGTACTAAAGGTTTTACACAAAGTGCCAGGATACCTGCTTTAAATAACTTCATATAATGACCTTGTCAGGAAGTCCATTATAGAAATATTTGTATATAGCTTAATGTCCGCCTTAGGGGTTTCTGTCCAAAAGTGAGAAATTCCTTTAGTAAATCAAGCAACCTCAAATTTTCAGTCATGCAGTTGGTAGAGAGAAGTTACTGCAGCTACCACACCAGCTGTTGCACAGATACAAAATGGCCCAATCTGTTCTGCCTGGCCAAATCAGGTCACTTCTATCAAAAAAAAAAAATATATATAAATATAAATATATATATATATATATATTAAGTGGGCAGAAAAATGACTAAGCAATGCTTTATGCTGTAATTTGAGAACACCAAAAGTTTTGACCTATTTATTGTTGTTGCAGCTTACCTAGAAGGGAGTTCGGAGCAGTAACCAGCAGCAGCACTGTGTGCAAGCAGCAATGCGGGCAGCTTGCATTCATCACAAATGACAGCTATGAAGTAACTTGCTAGGGTTTAATATTAAATTGAATGTGATAAAATTTCTATCCAACAGTAAATTTTTGTGTAATAGTTAAGCCGAAACAGTGCATGCTTATCATTAATACTGATAACTGCTTCCTCTTTGCAGGAGGCTGCTGACAGGTGCAGCTGCAAAGCTCCTGAAGGCTCAAAGCTCCACCGGTGGAGTGGTCTGCTTGAGACCTTTCGTTTTGGGAGGGCTGCAAATGCAGAACCTTGAATGCTGACCCTTCCCAAACTTACTCTCCCTCTGGAGCCTGCTGGAGTTTCACACTAAGATGTATATGAATTTGCATCACGCTGGTCTTTCCCAAATCTCCTCTCTTTGTCTTCCTAAGCACTATTCCGTTATTAACACGATCAGTTTCTATAAGGCCAGAGTCCACTGCTTCCCGACAAGCACTGGGTCAGGGCGAGCATATGAAGATGGTCATAAAATATAATTTATAGTGAGCTCTTCTTTATCAACAGTCATGTCATGGATGGGGAACAGGAGCATGAGAAAAACAAACAAATATTCTGCTGTTCTAGGTAGAGGGGAGAAAAAGGAATGAAGAAACACAAAGTTATGTGACCATAGAGGACCAGGATTTGCCCTTCAGAGTACAACCAGGACAGTTTCAGCTACTCTGTCTCCACAGCACCTGCTTCAGCCTCCAGCTTGCTGGGATTTGTTAGCTCAGCCCAGCAGACAGCTTACCCCCATGCACTGCTTCCAGTTGTCCAGAGAGCCAACACACTGCCATTGGGAGAGCAGGCATACTGGGGTGGATGTACAGCAGTGCAGAAACATGACTTTGCTGTCTCCAAGGTCAGCACACGGTGAAAAAGCAGTGCAAGCACTTTAGCACAGTATGCAGCAGGTAGTTAATAATTCTGCCCAACCCAACCAGCTCCGCAGTCTCCATGCCATAAACTCAGAGCAACTGAAAACTCACCGGGACGATGAAATACAGCACTTCCCACTTGTTCAACAGTGTGGATAAAAGAACAGTAGTCAAGAGAGAAAAAATGCTGAGAGTTTATTTTCAAAAGCATTCATGATTCTGAAACAACTTGTTTACCAAATTAACAATTGCAGAGATCACTCCACTGTTGTGTGTAAGCATCAGTTACCTTTCTAGAGGTGTGCCTCATTCTGAAACACCACTGACAAAGAACATCAAGCTTAAAAAGATGTAGTCAGAGGACCTTTCCGGGAGTCCAGGAGCACTCAGCATAGTTCTACAGCCATCCCCAGTTAGGGCTGGAGTAATTGTTCCTAGAGAAGCAGTCACCAGTTCCTGGTGTTTCTCCTCCTCAGGGGACAGTGAATACCTGATCTAGCAAGAGATGTCCCTGCCGATGCTGGGGATGGACTAGAAGATCTTTAGAGGTCTCTTCCAACCCAAACCATGCTATGATTCTACAAATACCTTGTTCTGAACCCTCACTTATTCTCTGGTCTCACTGATAAAGCTTTGTTTTAAGATAACTCTGGAGAGACCCAGTTAGACCTCAGTGAGGGCAACAGGCAAAAATTGTCATTGCTTTGACACCACATACTTAGCATTTGCACATTTTGGTACAAGATTTGTACATGATTTGGACACGAGCAAACGATGGAGCTGTTCAGAAACACAGAAGTGGTGGAGTTAAAGGAGCAGCAGTGCTCACATCCATGAGAGGTAGTAGCACCAAGAGAAGGAATTTAATTTCTTCATCTTCCTTTACTTTGACCGCAAATGCAGCATACAGGTATAGTCACAGTGGGCATACTATTCAGTACAATGTTTTCAGAAGGCATGTTAAAAAGGAGGGAAAAAAAAGTCTGTGATGCTGCTGTCCTGGACTATGTTCTATTAGATATGAGCCCATGCCAGATCAAATAAGAGATACCAGGCACAGGGCGTTGGCTCTACCACACTACATCTTATATCAGAGCAGGTATTTGTACCAAAAACAAACAAGCAAATAACTTCTGACATGATAGTGTTTTGCTTTTTAGCAGCTCAGCCTGTGAACACGCTCACAAGCAGCACGGCCCATTTGAGTTGCATCTAATTCAAACCATACATGAGCCAGGACACAGGTAGGACACACCCGGAGGACAGCATGCATGACAAAAGCTTTGCTTTCCCTCGTCTCCTGCCCCCTCCAGCGTGCAAACTAATAAGGAGCCTTTTTGACCCAACTAATTACTCAGACGTTTTACATATCCACTACCCACGGACTTCTACTTGCCCCTCAGGAGCACCTGAGCTGCTTCGCGCTGCCAGGCCCAAGGGAGCTGGGTCACACAGAAGTGCCCACCAGAGGCAAAGCGCTGCGGTGGTGCCACGGTGCTGATAACAGAGGTGGATGGTGTCAGCACACCACTAGTCCAGCAGCTATGACCTCTTTGTTTATGCTTGGTTATTAGCTGGCTGGGAGTAAAGGGACATAGGAGTGTTAGAAAGAGTGCTCCCAACAACCTCAAACAAAAACATGCAGCATGGAGCATGATGAAGCCTTCAGTTTCTCGTAATATGTTGTCAGCAGAAGACCACGAACACCCAGGACATGGTCTTTCTGCTCGTGCAATTTATTTTGGAGGTGATCCCCAAAGGGAATTTGCATGAGCACGGAGACGGCAGCTATTCTGAATGCTCTGATCAGAGAACAGGCACATCAGTGGCAGCAGCGTGCCCACGTACTGCAGTATAAAGGGGAAACAGGCTCAGTTTCTTTGCCAGAAGCATGTGTAATTCAGAGCTTTGATTTATGCTACTGAGATATGCATCTTGCACATTTTAGTGGGTGCAATTTATCAGACTTTTCATAAATGTGAAGTTTAAGTAGGCAGAGGAGTCATCTGTAAGAAATACTAAACTAATCTGTAAATAAATGAGCAAAACTCCTATTGTCTGGAAACTATTATACCCAGAAATTGGCTAAACGCAAAAATAAAATGGATTCTGGCCTTTACTTTGTGTCCTTTCTGTCCCTCCCAGTTTAATACCTCAGCATTCCTACAGGATAAAGCATCTACGCCATCTATGCTATAAAATAACTTGCCAAAGAACCAAGTATATAATCATGCTTGGATGTTAGATCATTCTCTGCTACTCCCAGTCTATCATGAGCAACACTGATTCAGCCCTCATCCTCAGCAGCAAACAGATGCTTCTCTAAGGAACCCGAGAGACAAGGCACCTTCTGACCAACCTACAGTATCTGTGAAGTTAGATCCAACACACAGCACATACAGGATCTCATTCTTCCCATGCCACAACATATTGCTCACTGCTTGCATTTGGAGAACTGATTGCAGATGAAATAACCATTCATTGTGTGCTTATGGTGTTACCAGCACCTGAGCAGTAAGTCTGTTCATTTTCTCTCAAGACAGAAAAAAAATTACGTAAAATCATAGTACTACACGAATTAATCCAATAGACCCTTACTGCCATTAATGTTGAAATATTAATTCTACTAGAAGCAGATATCCCCTCTACATTACACCTAGTCTCTCCCTCCAACAGCAGATGAAAGCCCTTCTTCCACTGGGTTAGTTTTCAGCCAGGTCTTTCCCTTACACAGCTTTCCACAATGTTATACAAATCTCAGTTCTGGCACAAGACAGTAACAGGCTTTCCATAAAGAGGAGGGTTAGAGGGAAACAATGAAACAATTTGGTCTAATAAACTAAAAAACGTGGCTAACATGACCATGAGTTTAAGAGTAGGATTGAAGTGCCAGCTTGGGAGACGAGCTCCTTAGTACCGTAGAGGCAGCTGGCACCTAGGCTGTACCAAGCACAAGCTATGTTTTAATACCTAGAGGCTAGGAGGAAAATACTACAAAGAGGTAAGGGACAGAAAAAGATGCATTACCTCTCCCTTGTGCAAAATGTGGATCTATTTGGTGGTGTAATTGTATCAGTTAGGAATCATGCCCCTAGTAGGCTCATCTGTTGCAACAGAGCCCTGCTATAAACCAGCTTCCAGCCAGCCCAGTCTGCACACAGCCCTCCTGCCCAGCGGATAACCATCTGCCCCAAGGATCACCCCTGAGTCAAATATGCCAGGGCTGCTACCTGGGAATCTGCAACCACTAGTGGCCAGAAAGCTTGAACCACCAGTACTTGAAAAGATCTCTCTAACTCAGAGGCATTTTTGTCACTCAGATATATCATCACCACCAACAAAAGTCATAGAGGCACCAGGGCTGCTAGCAATTAAACCAGGACACGAAACTCGGTTACTCCATAGAAACAGATTGGGAAAGCAGCATAAGGAAATAGCGCGTCTGTGGAAAGAAGCTGCCTAATGTGTTTGTCAAGCTCCCCGCATTTTCTTCCCTTATAGATAATTTTCCATTTGCATTAAAATCCAAGTAGCCATGCCTGAGAGAGATCAACATCTCCAAAAGCTACAGCCTAAACAGAAAACAATCCAGTTTCAGTACTTAACTACTAAATCATTAACCTACAGGGAAGGAAGTACTTCCTTTATCGGCATGGAATGCTTCTGTCCCTAAAGCAATGCTGTACACAAAAATGTAAAATATGGGGATATTTATGGATGAATGTTCATATGTATAAAAGGTACACGAATCGTATTCTGCTCAACAGATGCTAGATACTTTGCCAAGTACACTTTAAATACCAGGGTTTGCTGACCCTCAGGCATTGAGCAATACGGTGACAGTGATTACACTGATATCACACGGGATGTCGTGATAGTTTCAATAACTTTTGGCGGCGTTTTGGCATTCATGACACTAGATTCGTGACCCTTTCTGCCCAGCTCGTCCATATCTCCACTTCCCCACCGCTCCTCCTGCTCCCTCGCTGGGGGGAAGGAGACAGACCTTGAGTCCAGCTGCTCTTTCTGAGCCCAAAACAAGTGGGGCAAAGCCTCTGCAAGCATTAGGCTGATAGATCCCAAAAAAAGAGTTTGCCAAGGCAAGGGTAAGGCAGCCCACGCACTCCAGCACCGCCTTTCACCACGGGCTGCAGACTCCACTCCAAGCAAGATGTGGAAAGGAGGCGGTTAGCCAGGAGGAGCCCCACCACACACTCTCCTACCCAGAGCTCACCAAAACATTGCTCCCGTCACCAAAAGCATCAGCGGCACGACACCAAAGGGCAACATTTTTATACAATGATATCATTTGACTCTCTATCATTATTACAGAGTAAAATAATAGCTATTTTCCTGGATACTATTCAAACCTGTACCAGGATATTCCACCACTGTAACTACATGGGAAATGTTTTTCTAGCTTAGACCCATCCTGGATTCAGCTACAAGAGCGCAGAGGAGCTGAGAGACGGCATCTGGTTATCGCAGCCCCTGCCCAGCCCTCAGCCATAAGCCCCAGCCCCTTCCTTTATGACAACTTTATGACCTTCCTTTAAACAACTTTATCCTGCTGATCGGAGGGAAGGAAAAATGAGTCAAAGTCTTCTTTATCGATAAAATGCCGAAGGGAAAAAAATCAGGAAATACTCAACAATATTCTGCAGGAACTCGGAATTATTGGTTCTTCTCAGAATTCAGCTTCAGAAAACTCCAAATCCCCCAAGCCAACATATTTATATGTACAGTTAAATGCTGCCCTGCACAACAGGAAAAAACAAGGTAGCTGTACCTCCTTACTGCCAGGACAAAGCCAGCAGCAGGGAATTCTGCTGCTCTCTGGCAAGCTCACCCACATCCCCATTCGTGCCACCGCCACCAAAAAGATCTGGCACTGAGGAGGGCTCCCAGCCAAGCCCCGCTGCCTTGACAAGTGGAGCAGTTCGAGCTGAAGGAGGAAACTGTGTGGAAAGAAATTCCAGGAGCATGTTGTCTGGGAGAGGCAGACAAGCTCCCCCGTGCTCTTCCACCTGCTGCACTAAAACCGGGGGGCATCTCGCCGTGCTGCCTCCGGAGGGGGAACAACCCCAGAGCCCCCTTCCAAGCCCCGAGACCCCAACCCTGGGACCCAACCACCTCCCCCCCGACGTACCCAGGATCTCCTTCCTGCGCTGCGTGTGGGGCTGCTCGGTGTAGACCCACTCGAAGTCCCCCCGAGCCACCCGGTTGCCCATGGCTCCGCCGCGCTGCGCCCCGCTCCCCGCCGCCCTATATAGCCCGGCGGCCCGGCCGCTGGGGCGGCGCCGGCCGCGGCCGCCCCGTCGGGGCGGAGGCAGGGCGAGGGGCGGCCGGGCTGTGGGGTGCCCCGGGGAGGGCTCCGCCCGGCGGCCGGGGGCACGAAGGGGGCCGGGGGAGGTGTGTGGGGGATGAGGGGAGGGTATAGGGGCTGTCGGGGGAGGTTTGGGGGAGGTCGGGTCCCCGTCGTGCCGCTGCCGACGTCGGGGGGTGGGTGGTCGCGGAGGGAAGGGAGGCAGCGGCACTGCGGGCTTGTCGCCCTGGGGCTTGGGGAAAGGTTTTTGGTGATCCCGTGAATCCGCAGCCCGAAGTGGGATGTGATTTAGGGCGAAGTGCGATGGTGCGGGCAGCTCCCAGGCGGGGAAGCTCAGAAGTGCGAGCGGGTGGCCAGCGCCTGGCACGCAGCCCCTGGGCTCTGCTAGCCCTGGGCGAGCTGCCCTGGTAGCAGCCAGCCTTGGGCTGGGTCGTGCTTCGCTCCTGGGAGTCTGCGGCCCAGTTTCTGCGTCTGGTATGGGGAATCAGCGCTCCTCAGTAAGGAAGTCAGGCGAAGGATTTGCTAAGCCTAAAACTCCTCTCCAGCCTCTCTGATTCACAGGGAGAGGTGATGTTTCTCCACGCACAACCTCAAATTAAAGTGCTGCTCTTGTTCCCGCTGCGCTCTTGTGCAAGCCCGTACCTGACCCACTGTCCGTCCTTGGTGCTCGCTGTCCCTAGCATCGCTCCTTCCACTGACCACGTCCCACTCAGATCAGCTCCACGCTCAGAAGACAATCTTATTTCCCGATGTTCTTGCTCATTTTTTAATCTCTCTCACTCACTCCTTAGTCTCTTACCCTTACAAATACCTAGCACAGTTGGAAGTTGCAAGTGGCAGAAAAAAAGCATAAAAATCTTTCAGGAAAATTTTTCCCTGTTGATATTTGCAACACAATCATCTCGTACTTTAGTCGTATTTAACCATTTAAGACTGCTTGTGTGAAATGATATGGGTTAAAACCCACAAAAATGAAAACAAAACACTGACACGTAACTGCTAGAAACCTGTGGGATTTTCTTTAAATGTTTTTTCCTCTTAAGCGGTCTAAATTTAAACCCTTGAACAAAGCAGGTTGAGTGGAAGGAGCATGGTGTAAAGCAGCTCTGCCCAGAGCAGGCGTTTAACCAGTTCGCTTTTGCAGGTCACTTCTCTGAAGGACAACTCTCTGTTCTCCATCGCTCCAACGTGAGGCCAGTGGTCACACACAAGGTTGCAGGGTCCAGCCCAGTTAGGACTGTTAATCTGAGTAAGGTTGTCACATGTTTCTGTAAGTACGGAATTGTTCAGAGAGCAGATGCATCAGTATCTCAGCCTAAACCTTTAATTGGCTCTAATCCTTTGTCTTGTTGACAGTATTGGTGGAGAAGCCAAAGACAACAGGACAGTGATGACACTCGTCTGTCACTTCCTGCTCAGTAGTTCTTAGGGTGACTACAAAAGCAAATTAGTGGGGCAGCCCGTGTGGTTGACAAGAAAACAAACATGACTTCATCCCCAAAAGTTTATCCAATAGGCTGGTGCGCAGGGTAAGTTACGCATTGAAAGTGAGCATCCCTTTGCAGGCAACCGCACTGCCTTCATGTAGCTTATTGCTACAGGCTCAGCCCTACCACATGAGAGGAACAAAAAGCTCCCGTCTCCAGTGAGCTGGCATCTCTCTTTGAGGATAGAATTTCACCCTTTATATTTCTATAATAAACTGAACAAATTATACTAATTTAAGAGTAATTGTGGATGCCAGACAAACGAGAAATGCCAGCTTTAGAGTAAGGCTGAATTGTTCGGAATTGGCAGAGGTATTATCCAGTTCTGACCATTTGGCACCTTTTGTTTTACAGCACCCTAGTGAAGTGCAAACAGGGTTAGAATCATTCACGGAGGAAAAGGAGGGTGGATTTTAATCTCACCTGAGAATGGAATAATAGCCCTTGTAAAGAATATCATAACAACTGTGTCTGAGTTCTACAAACCCATGTACTCAGTGCACTTTATGGCAATTCAAACATGCTTCATATGGCCAGGTTCTCCTGGCTGTAGCCTTCCTTTCACCGGCAATTTCCTATACTTGTTCAGGACTTCTAAGAATCAAGAAATCTATCTGCGAGAAATTTTTAACATGGAAACGTGTTAATTGTGCTCCTCAGTAGGAGGAGCACAATTGCTGGCTCTGTACAGGGTACCATCACGTACCTCATTTACATAGCTTTAAGTACAGGTCATACTTACCTCCAGCATCACTGCTAGCAGTTTTCAGGGTAAAAAGACAAAAATCCTTTGCTCCACTGAGGACACAAACTGAAAGATGCAGCTCTGAAACAAGACATACTGGTCCTCTCATCCACACAGTCAGACTCACGCCTCCCCACCCAAAGGTGCCTTTCCACCAGCTGGTTTCCCAGCACACACATATTTCTGCCGCACAACCCAGCTACTTCCTCCCTCCATGTATTAAAAGAACAGGTGACACAGTAAATACAGCAGGAACACCTGCACATGCTTCCCACTGGCTATTGACAGCTTGAAGAGCAGGCTTCATGTCTGAGGTATCTTAATTCCACATCTCTGTACAGGCTTTAACTCTTCTTTTTCTGGTTTCTAGACACTAACATTATTATTTATTTATTATTATTATTATTATTAATGCTCTGGAAGTAAAATGAGGAAGTTTGGCAATTTTGTCCTAAATAAAGTGTTTTCTGAGTAAAGAGCTCCATGTCCCACAGAAGACTTTTCAATAATAATAATAATAATAAAAATAAAACTTTTAGTTTCTTCTCTGTATGTATTAACTGGACCTTTCTAAATAGTTATTTTGACTACCTGAAGAAAATGTAGCTATGTAGTCGCTTGCTTAAAAAACCAGTTTTGTATTGGGCACCACACTAACCCAGTGATGAGGTCTGTGAGCTGGTGTACTTTATTGAACAATGTCAGGATTTTATAGACGGCATAGTCTGTAGCTGAACCATGTCATCGACACACACACCCACTGAGGTTAGCTCAGGGGAAACCATGTGCCAATAAACCCAGCTTTTTGCTCGTCCCCTCTTCCCTGTGCTGACCCGTTCTGGCTTTCTCTTGCCATGGGGTGAACTCTGTGCCAGAGCTGTGAGGCGGATGGACTGGGCAGAGGCTGGTGTGGCTGAATCTGCCCAGCACATCACAGAATCGTTTAATACGGAGCTGACCCTAAGGACCATCAAGGGGGCCCTGCCGGCCGCCCGTCAGGCGGTGCGGGTCCCGGCTGCCGCCGCCTCACGGCCCGGGCGCTGCGGCCGAGCCCGCCCCGGGCCGCCCCCGGCACCTCACGGCCGGGCGGGCGGCCCCGAGCCCCGCGCTCCCCCTGGCGGCGCCTCCGAGCGCTGGAGTTTGTGAGGTAGAAACAGAGCGGGGCTGGGAGCTGCCCTCGCTCCTTCAGAAACGCGGGTTTGGGGATTTTTAACACGGTTCGAGGTGGTCACCAGCTAGGAGCGAGGCGAATGCAGGCCCGCTGTGACTAGAGGCAGCACCGCCGTGTACAGCCGTGTATGCTGCACACCATGTTCTATGTTGTGCAGAGGATTTGCAATCGCTTTTCTGGCGAGGGATGCGTCTGCTCTTGCACACCCTAAGTACGAAATCCATAAGCAGCTGAAGCAACCCTCCCTGCAGCCTCGGGATTTCAGCACCACTTTCGGTAGCACCCCAGTACAAACAGCAGAACGGAGCGCTCTGACCAGACTTTGCTTCCACAGCAAAAATGCTACCTGCAAGAAGTAGCAACACCTGCAGAGAACCTGAGGCATTCCCTCTTGACAAATAGTGTCGGGTTTATGAGAAAATGTAGCTCCTGTGAGGTTTACCAAGATAAACTGTGATTTCTCTCTCCCCCCTTTAAGCATTGATGGATCTCTTCCATAAAACCCTACACTGCTGTACATCATCGGTACGGCAGCGCTTCCGAGACACAAGTGACCCTAACAGACCTGCTGTCTCAAAGACACTCAGGTTTCCGCTGATACACTCGGAGCCTGGTTTATTTCAGTGCTGCCAAGCACACTTCTGACAACAGGAGTGACACTTCAGAGGAGTGCTTTGTCCAGCCCCATGAAGGCAGAGGCTGGGCTTTGAGAAGAGGAAAAAAGGCCACTTGAAGGTGGATAGTTGGGTGTGATGGATAGGGGTGTGTATGCGTGTGCACGTGTGCGCATGTAGGAAGTATCCCCTCTGCAGGGAACAGGTGGAGAACGCTTTCGATAACAAACTGCTAAATTGCACAGATTGTCACAGAATCACATCAGGCACTCTCCATTTTTGCTTTGGAAAAACATTTTGACTCAGTATTTATATTGTAGCAACAAATATATATATAAAGACCCTTCTGCAATGGACTGTGATTTGACTGTAAAAAAAACAAAGTAAAATGACAAACTCTCCAATCTCCAATCAGTTTGAGTTACAAATCCTTCTAAAATAAATGCTCTAAAAAAAAAAAAAGTACTGATCAGCTTTGCTTATGCTGAAGGAGTTTTTATACTCATATTTTAGCAAGCTGCCAGAGTTGCAATATATATTGCCTTGTAGAAGCTCAGCTAAGTTTGTTTAAGAAAAAATAGCTGCCCTCAGGCTTCCATTGAGACTGCAGCAATTTATTTGTTTTATTTATCTTTAATGAATTAGCTTTATTCATTTCAATCTGGGATTATTTTTCTTTTACAACATAATATTAACTGTAGGTCTATTTCTTTCGTAGTGTTCCAGCCATCTATCAATATCTGGTGCCCTTAAAGGAAGCTGAGAGCTCAGCACTTTTCAGCATCAGGTCTGGAGTGTGTAAACCAAGCAAATATGTACGCACAATAGGGCTGGGAGGTGCTGCTCTTTGTAAGACAATAGGCACGAGCAGGAGATGCAGATTTGCTCCCTGGTCCTATGGTGTAGGTTAGGACATACATTCACTTATACTGCTTGTGCTGGTAACTGTGAAATCATATCATGCTGGCTCAAATAATATGCATTATTTGCCAGAGGTTTCCCATTCTTGTATTATCTGTGATTTGCAAGACACCGTCCATCCAGGTGTCCACAAACACCGTATGCTGGTAGATCTAACAGGACTGCTTTGTAAAGCCTGGTGATTTTGGAAGTGTAGTTTCATGCCCCAAGCTGTGAAGTCAACCAGGAATACAGGAGAAAGCATTCATATTTGACAGCCAGCTTCACAGTTCAATAATATTTATTTGTATTTTATGTCCACAATTCAAGGGTTAAACGTTTCTGGAACAAGGATCAAGCCCACTGATTCATGTATCCTTTCATACAGTAAGAACAACTTACGTGACCTTGTCCTTAAAACACCTGCTTAATGAAACTGGGGTGATTAGTGACCCTAACTTAGAAATTATTGTGTAATGGTAGCAGTGCAAATGCTGCCTCCTTCCCTCTGCAAGACAACAAAGGAGAGAAAATCCTCCCCTTACTTTGCTCAGTCTCAAAGACACAGATGACAAATGGAGGGACAGAGCTATAAATCTAAGCAAATTAATTGGCGTGGCTTTGCTAGCTGGTTGGTTTGTTTTTAAAGGGGGATCTGAAGTAGGATGTGGTACAGAAAAGAAAACAGTAATTATTAAAAGGAGAGGAAAAGAAACAGAGGAAAGAAGTGTACACAGAATTCATGACTTGTCCCTAGTCATGGTGAGCAAGCAGAACCTTACAGTCATGGTGAACCCTGAAATGCATTTTGTAGGAGTCCATATACGAGCTGGGCTCAGGGATTTTCCTCATGTTTAATTAGCCATCTGAGAGAGAGGACAAAGACATTTGCAGCAGAAGCTAGTGGGCTGTAAGGGTGATAGCTGCATTAGATCAGATGGAGATGATGAGGCTAAATCATGAAAGACTATGAAGGTAAAGTAAAAAACACATTTCCTGCAGAGCTCCAGATAGCCAGAAGAAGGACTACAGGAAAAGAGTGGCACAGCTAATTAGCATCTTCCTTTGTGGATTACTTTAATGGTATTGTAAATCCTAGTTCAGATTTCTTCCTGAGTTGTTCTTTTTTATTTTTTTCCTAAGACCTCTCCTCTTTTTATTGATGAATAAGACATTTTAGATAAAGATAACAAAGAAAACCCAATACAGTGAATCAGCAGAACTAATTCATTAGTCTTAGAGAATTCTTTAAAAAGTGTTAACAAGAGCTAATTGCTTAACACTGTATTTCAGCTATCGATTTTCTTTTCCTCTAGTAAGTGGCTTTATAATCTGGTCTTCTTTACACAAGAACAAAAATATCTTAAAAGCTATACATGTCATATATTTAACCGGATATGCAAGTGTTATCAGTTTATCAGTCAGTGTTGATTTACAATGGGAGGGCTAATCTTTCCTTTCAAACACTATACAAAATAGCTGGTGTGAGAATGAGAAAGGAGGAAAAAAAAAAAAAAAAGGTTATCAGAAGTCTCCAAATCAGTGAATGTGAAAGGCTGGGTGGAAGAAAATGGGAAAAGGTAGCGTTGACCCCACTAGGGGCAAGAGAGAAGGCTGTAGGTGATGGCTGTGAAAACCTCATTTTGTTTCACAAGTTTCACATGTCAAAATTCTTCCCCTTTCTTGCTCTTTTGTAAGCTGAAGGGATGGGGACAGAGGAAAATAGGACTAGAAGAAAAAACCTAGCTGGGAAAACCAGTATTGATCTTTTTGTTCATTCTTTTTTTTCTTTGTGAAAAAAGTAAGTTATTTTCAGTGACCTTCCCTTTCTTAAAATGTAACAGACTCGTGTATTTACCAAGTGATTCTTAAGAAAGCAGTTACCTAGTTTTGGTTTGATGCAGCCGAGATAAGTGCCAGAACAGTTAGTTCTGTAGCATGAAATGCCACTCCATGAGAGTCAGTTTTCTATATAAACATCATGCAATAGAATACTGCACGCAATGGATTAGTATAACTATGATTTCTGGATGCTGTGAACGGGTAGTTCACCCTAGAAAGCAAAAACACATGAGGGGAGAAAGCACAATATTGATTGGGTGGCTAATGCTGCTGAGTGCTGACCATCATCTGCTGATGCTGTATTGAATATCTCTGAGAGATGGATCGCAAGAGCTCTTCCAAGCCAGGGTGCTGCAATGCCTCAAGCATACAGTGTCTTGTGCTGGGAACAGCACCACTGACTTCCCTGCAGCTAGTTGGCATGTAACAAACACTTTAAGGCCTAATCCAGACACTGAGCACCCCAGGAGTTGCAAAGGATTGTTCTTGCTTGCACCATAGTATTACAAATCAAAAACAAGAAGGCGGAGGCACCACACTCATTGTGGCTCGGTGAAAGGACATAACACTACAAGCACAAATCAAAATACAATAAATCTTCTTAAACACAATGAAGTAATCTCTTTCCCATGAGGGTGGTCAAACGGGAAGAGGTTGTGGGTCTCCATCCCTGGAGGTATTCAAAGCCCAACTGGACACAGCCTGCTCTAGGTGACTCCTCTTCCGAGCAGGGGTTTGGACAATCTCCAGAGCTCCTTTGCAGCCTCAGCTCTTTTGTGATTACGTGAAACTGAAAAGATCAACTGTCTTGTTTAAAGATTGAGCTTAGTATTTGTTGTGATAAACCTCGACAAGGACCCAGCACACACAATCTTCTGTAATGATAGATGCCAAGTGTATGCAGACAGTAAAAGCAGAGGGGGGTTCAGAAGAGAAAGATATCTCTTGCTGAGCAGAAATCAGAGACCTCATATGTATCTCCTCATCTTCCTTTCACTCCTCCCTTCCTTTTTTTTTTTAATGCAGTGTATTGCTAGTAGCTCAAGTATTTGTGGATGGCACTATTTTTATAGGACCGTATACCAAAATTAAAGAGGTCAAATCTCATTATCACCTAGCTTTCATTCTTATCTAGATGATGACTGCATGGAGCTACAATATGCTTTGTGCTGGATTTGCAACTGTCTTCTCTTTGACACAAAACACATTTTCTCTTTGGGATGAAAACCCATCTCCCAAGGCTTTTCCTTGCCCATCCACCTGCTGAAGAAAGGCAGGCACTTGAGCCAGTTAACCCGAAAGAAAGAAAGGTGGAGGGGGTAGAAGCTGGCTTGCCAAGAGTAAACAAATTCGGTTTTGCTCTTTCAGTTAGACATGAACTTATTCCCAGGACTTCTGCAGAGCCAAGAAAAAAACAATGCTGGTGGTGCATGCAGGAAAAGTTAAAAACAGCTGTCTGCGGATTGATGGTGCACCACAACTTACTTCAGCAGATTTTAAGGAAGGAACTGGGGAAAAAGAAAAAGAAAAAAAAAGTAATCTAGAGCTTGTAAAGAATATATTTTCATAATAAACATATTTGTTATGGATGCTTAAAAATAACTTTTATTTCCAAGGAAAGGTTTCCAGATGAGTGTATGGACTGGTCTATTCTCAAGGGAGATCCTGTGTGTGACTTCCCTGTCCTCTTTCACCTGGTGATGCTACTCAGGGCAAGAATTTCTTTTAAAACACCTTTTCAACGGGCAGCTTTCATGCGTTTGTTTTTGTTTGATGCTGTATTCTTCTCTCTTCAAGAGAAAAAACAATGCATGGCTAATCCTCACAGCCACTGAAAAATAACTGTGTGTTGCTTAGGCAAATCACCCAGCTCAGGATGAAGGGAAGCATGTAGTGGGCAAACCACTGAGCTGAGGAACATTTCCGTGTAGCGGTTCACTGAAAAATAACCACTTGTGAATGCTGCAGCAAAATAAAGCCTTCGGTATATGCTGAAGGGTGGGAGAGGTAGAAAACACTTGTGGTACTGATTTTAAAAAGCTAAAGGCACTATTTTCACTGTGCCGCTGAGATCGCCCTACAAAGGGGAGAAATTTACACGTGCCGAGCTGCGAATGTCTTAGGAAGTGCGAACAGCCGCCGTTTGTGGGACTTTTACAACAATAAGCCCGATCTGGCCGGTGTTAGGAAGGGGGGAGCCGAGTGTGACTGGAGGGGAGCGATTCCGTCAGCTCCCCCAAGCCAAGCGCGCCCGCGCTCCGCCTTTGGAGAATAAAAGAAAAAAAAAAAAAAAAAAAAGGTACAAAACATAAAATAACGGCGGAGAGGAGGCGCGCAGCAGCGGGGCCCCCTCGGGCCGCCCTTCCTGTCAGCGGGCTTCCCGCGCGCCTGCGCGCGCCGCGGCCGTTAACGGTCGGGCTCCGCGCGCGCCACCTGCCGGCCGCCCGCGGCGCGAGGCGGGGCGCGAGCCGGGCCCGCCCCCCCCAACCCCCGCCGAGCAGTGGGGGCGGGGCGGGGCCTCAGGCGCTGGGAGGGGCCTAAACGGCCGGGCGGTGCCTGCGGGCGGAGAGGTGACGCCGCCCGGTGCCGATTGGCTGCTGCGAGCAGGGAGGCGGGGCCGGCCGCCGCCGCGCTCCCCGATAGGCCAGGCGGCGGCGCGCGGAGGCGGGCCTCCGAGGGAAGGCGCGCCCCGATTGGCTCCTCGCCTTGCCCGGTTGAGGCGGGCGGCGCGATTGGGCGCTGGGGGCGGTTCCCGCGGGCTGCCGGGGGCTGGGGGCCGTCTCGGCGGCGGCAGCGCGAAAGTCTCGCGAGGGCGCGGGGCCGGGATCTGGCGGCTGCCTCCCTCCCTCCCTCCTCCCTGCTCCCTCCCTCCTCCGGCTGGCTGCGAGGCGCTGGTGTTTGTGTGGAAGGGGGAGGAGGCGGCGAGGAGAAGGAAGGCAGGCGGGAGGCGCCCGAGCCCCGCCGGCGGCTGAGGGCAGCGGAGCCGAGCCCCTCGCGGCGGCCGCCGAGCGAGCGAGCGAGCGCCGTTCCCCTCCCCTCCTCCCTTTCCCGTTCCCCCCCCCCCCCTCACCCCCTTCTCCCTTCCCCCCCGCCATGGCCTCGGGAGACACCCTGTACATCGCCACGGACGGCTCGGAGATGCCGGCCGAGATCGTGGAGCTGCACGAGATCGAGGTGGAGACCATCCCGGTGGAGACCATCGAGACCACCGTGGTGGGCGGCGAGGAGGACGAGGAGGAGGAGGAGGAGGACGAGTGCTGCGAGGACTGCGGCCCGCACCACCCGCCGCACCACTACCACCACCACCAGCCCATGATCGCCCTGCAGCCGCTCGTCTCCGACGGCGACCCGAGCGGGGCGGGCGGCGGCGCGGCGGGCGGCGGCGGGGGCCAGCTGCACCTCCACCACCACCACCAGGAGGTGATCCTGGTGCAGACCCGCGAGGAGGTGGTCGGCGGGGACGACTCGGACGGACTGCGCGCCGACGACGGCTTCGAGGACCAGATCCTCATCCCCGTGCCGGCCCCCGCCGGCGAGGACGAGTACATCGAGCAGACCCTGGTCACCGTGGCCGCCGCCGGCAGCAAGAGCGGCGGCGGCGGCTCCTCGTCGGCCGGCGGCGGGGGCCGCGTGAAGAAGGGCGGCAGCGGCAAGAAGAGCAGCAAGAAGAGTTACCTGAGCGGGGGAGGCGGCGGCGGGGCCGAGGGCGGCGGCGGCAGGAAATGGGAGCAGAAGCAGGTGCAGATCAAGACCCTGGAGGGGGAGTTCTCGGTCACCATGTGGGCCTCGGGTAAGTGCGCGCCCCCCCGCCGCCCTCCCCGAGCCCCTCGGGCCGCCCGGCCGCCGGCGGCCGGCGTTGTTTTGAAGGGAGGCCATGTTTTGGTGTGTGCGATGGGCGCCGCCATGTTCCTCGCCAGGGCAAGTATGGCGGCTCCCCGAAAAGATGGCGGGGGCTGCGCTGCCGCCGCCGCTGCTCCTGCCCGGCTCCGCGGCGGGGGGAAGGAAAGATGGCGGCGGCCGCCAAGATGGCGGCGGCTGAGGGGGTGCGGGAGGGAGGAGGGAGGGAGGAGGAGGGCGGGCGGCGGCGGCGCGCCGCTGGCTCCAGGACTAGGCCGCAATGGCGTAGTTTCTGCAGCAGGGGGAGGCGGGGTGTGCGGGCGGGCGCTCGGTGCGGGGCGAGCCCAGCCGCGCCGCGCTTCAACCCCCCCCTCTCCGCCCGTCCCCGCCCCGCCGCTTCTCCCCCCCCCCCCTCCTCCTTCCTTCTCCTCCTCGGCTCCCGGTCCCGGCCGCCGCTCCTCTCGCTCCGCCTGGGTGCCGATCGCGCCCGTTAGGCGAGGGGCGGCCCCCCCGCTGCCGGCTGAGGGGAGCCGGGATGGCCGGGAGGGGGGTGGGTGGCAGCGGGGTCCGAGCGGGCTGGCAGCGTGTGTTTTTGGGGTGAAAGCGTGTGTTTTCGGTGTGGGAGCGCGCGTTTCCCAGTCGCTTTCCGTGGGAGTGTCTCAGGGAGGCAGGGAAGTCAGGTGAAGATGCCCGGTGTTATCTGCAGGGCTCGGGATGAACCTGACATGCGCTTCCCATTTAAGCCGCCAACGGTTTCCTGACCCTTTGCTTCAAAATATATAAGGGGAAGGATGTATTTCTTTTGTCAGCGGTACGCTGTGGCTGGTTTTCTTGCTTTGTTTTCTGTTTTCACAAAGAATTGTGTCACTGGAAGCTAAGGCTCTGTAGGCAAAGTTCTGGGCTAAAGTTACATAAGGGCAAAAAGCGGTCACTTCATGAACTACTTAAATTAGTACGGCTAATAGGCCAGTACTCGGTTTTGCCTATCATAGTTCTTGTGCGCTTTTTAATTTGTAGCAGGGTATCAGATATTGGTTAAACTGCCGAAGTAGTAGTTAAAAAAAAAAAAAAAAATGTTGGCAGAATGTGATGCTTGTGAGTGACCAGTAGCTTTATTAGTAAGGGGAGTGCTGAAGGAAGAGTATATTGAACAACTGGATTCTTTTGTCTGAAAAGACGCAGAGAACAGCGATTCTGATTTTCACTTTCTTTAATATAGGCGATTATTTAGCAAGTTTGCCAGAGCAGTGTGACACCGCTGATATACACTTAGTTGGCTAGCTAATGAGCCTGATCAGAGTTCCCTGCTTTTGGATGAACAGAGAACTTTCAGTTCGGAGTTTCCTGAATTGCTGTTCAGTAGAATGGGGTTCTATATGCTTCTGTGTTATCGATGGACGTGACCTGAATTAAATTCGCATGCTGTCTCTTCTTAAAACTGACTGTGCAAGAAGGACAAAAGAGAATAAAATACATAGTCTTCTGGTTTGTGGAAAGTACCTAAGGTAGCTGAAAGCAAGTCAATGTGTGGCTCGTGAGCTGGCAGGATATAGGGCCTCGCTTGTACTCAGATTCAGAGTGCCTGATAGGATGCTTCCGTAGAGCTGCGTGCTGATTATTGCTTGACTGAAACGAAGCGTGTGTGTAATCAATGCATCTGATTCTATTCCAGCTTACACAACTCTTACATCAGGATAGCCCTATTGATTGCAGTGGTTTTCTTCTTTGTGATCATGACCACGCAAGCTCAGCCAGAACGATCTCCACTTGTAATGCACTGGGGATTGAATTGCATTGGTACATTCAGTTCAGTTATATTCATGCTGCAGAAAGATACAGAATACCTCTGCTAACTTGAATTCAAGAGGCAAAAAAGCCCACAAACTCCCCAAAAGCAGAATCACAATATACTTAACAAAGAAAAAAATATTCAAGTTTGACTTTCCTTCCCTGCACGCATGCGCATGAGCCTCCTCCCCCTATACTGTGCACCCTCCCACCCTGAGCTTGAAACAGCCTTTGGTTTAACCTCTTCAGCTAAGAGTGAAGTTTACTGAGCTTGTCGGGTAGGCTTTTATACCTCTTAGAGAGTTTACTGAATGTTTTAAAAGTGGTCTGGAGTGGTTTGTGGTCAAACACTTAACTTTTGGTGCTTCATTATGTGTTTTCTCAAACTTGGGGGGGTGGTGAATGCCAGAAAAAATCCAAAAGAGGCAGAAATGGAAGGAAAAAAAATCCCTGATTAAACTACCTGCTTACAAAAGGATAGTTGTACTAAAGTTTCCCTGCAGAATCAGGCATGCTTTATTTTGAACAAAGATAGTTGTTTTGCCTCTGTTTTTTGGACTTAATTAAAGACTTGCTTACACACTGATCTAATGGACTGTTTGAGATATTTAACAAAAAGTTTATCGAAAGATGACCAGTAAACAAGACCATGCATCGAGCTAAAACAATGAGTCCTATATTGCTGTTCTTGGGTATTTGAACTGGGAACAAGGGCGCTTTGCTCACCGCAGTGTGCAAAGACAATGTGGATTAATTACTCGTTACTGTTTTCTAGTGCTGCTACATTAGCTGTACCAAATGTAGCCAGTCATAAATCTTTGTCCCGAAGCATTTAACATACCTCATAACACCTCTTGAAAGGTGTAGGAATAGCATGTGAAATATCCACTGATGTGATTAGAGTGGACTGCTCGATCCTGGTCTCGTTAATGTGGTTACTTTGGAGTTGCTCTACTGTTGTTGGCAACGGTTTGGACTCACCATAACTTTTCTTATCACCTTGGTATCTGTGGTGATATCAAACTTGTGACCTGTGATTACTTTAATTAAAGTGGTTAGTTTAAGAAAGGCTTTGTTCTAGTTCATGTTCGTTTTCAAGATCTTCAGAATGGAATCATTTGTCTTTCTTCGATTGTGGAAAATAGGCACCAAAAAAAAGCTACAACTACGTGATAGTACCCAGCAATGGGGGGAGGAAAGGATTAATAGAAATTGCTTTCTCATGTTACATTGGACGGTGGTGCTGAAATTCTGGCTTCACCAAATGCTGCAATCTTGAACAACTTGGGCTTGATTTGGGGGGAAAAAATCATATATATTGATTGTCAAGCTGCTGAATCTGAAATAGGTTGTGCTGGCACAAATTGTTTGTGTAGCTGGTCTGCAAGCTTAGGGCTGAAGTAGTACAACCAACCTCAGTATTGCCCATAGATGTTACACTGCTGAAGTATCCTGTTTCTATATGGGAAAGACAAATATACATATGTGTATAGTTTGAAAATGGTTTGTGATGATCCAGAAAGCCTGTGCAGAGGGCCCATATTTGGAAATGCAGGGACATCATGTTGGGTTTCCAGAAGGTTCTTCAAAGCCTCTTTGGGAGAGAAAAAGAAACCTTTAATTCCTTAAAGTAGAAGAGGTTCCATTTGACTTGATCAGATTACAGGGGTGAGAAAAAGAATCATCAGCTATCTGAGCAGTTGTCTTTAGTAGTATAAGAGAGAGTCATTTAGTTCAGTCTTGGGCCAGTATCAAGGATAGCCAAAATTCTTAGCAATGACAAATGGGTAATGGGCTTCTTATATGAGAAAAAAAAAATCATAATGGAGGCAGAAAGTGTTTGTGTGGCTCCTTTAAAATGTTAAGATGGAAATCTATTTCTGATTCTGACCTGACAGCAATACAGGCTGTTGGTATCCATAGGCACTGAGTCTGCCCTAACAGTTATGCCAGTGAACCTTAGAGGACAAGTACATATCATAGATATTTTCCTGCATCTGTTTTAAACATCTTTTCAGCTTTGAAAGTGAAATACATTGAACGTGATTCATCACTTTAACTGTATGGATGAAGTTGCCTCCTAGCCCATTGTCAAGCGAGGATCCTCAGGCTTACTCCTAGACCTTTCCCTGCGAGGTGCTGATGATTCAGGTCAGAGTGCTTCAGCGCAGTGTCTCACCAGCGTTACAGTCAGATGATGACTATTGATATATGCAGTGTTTTTGTCAGTTCATGTCTCCTTCAGCGGTGTGAAATATGAGATGGGTGACGTGGGGAAAGAAGAACCTGTTCTCCATCTGCGTGCAAGGCACTGCGGAGGGAAAGTAACTGAGTAGCCAGTTAGGTTAAGAAATGACATACTGTGCAAAATGGAATTTAACTTTCAGAAGCGTCTGCTAAATTACTGTATTATTTAATGAGCTAATTACGGTTCTCTGCTTCCAAACGTGACCAATGAAGTATTTTGCCTGAGGAGATTGTAATGTGGTAGCAATAACCAAGCTGTTACCACAGTGCCTTGGTGCTGCGCAGTCGCTGAATGCATCCTTTATCATGTAATTGCATTTCAGCTGTTCCTAAAACAAATGGGTGTAGCTGTGTGATCATGAAAAGAAAATCTGAGCTTAACTGTTGTTCATCCTTTTAGTAAGAAGAGTGGCTGTTAACTTGGTACCTCGGGGAGAAAGCTCTAGGGTTAAGTCTCATCGCTTTACTAGAAAGCGTACCTTCTTAATTCCCATTTGTACTCTGTATGTACCACAGGGGAAATGTGACTGAATAATGTGTTCTCCCTGCCATGTAGTGAGGGAGGAGGATAGCTCAGAAAACTGGGGATCTTGAGATGAAGTTCCAAGGTTAAAACCAGAGTAACTGAGGTAGAAACAGTGATAGGACTTCTTGGGTTGAAAGAGTTGGGAGATCGAGAGCTGGCAGCTGGAGCTAGCTGCTGTTCCAGAAGCACATGAAATAACAAGGTCCTGAGGTGGATGGATTTTCTGTGTAAAGATAGAGGAAGTTTGGTGGTAAGAGCAAAAGATAGTCAACAGAGGTCTTGGGATACAGATTCCACCAGTGCTTTGTCATTGTGTTGCACACAATCTGCAGTTAGTGGTTTTATCCTGGTAGACTGACTTCCTCCCACCTGAATTGGTACCTGAGCTTGGTACTCTTAAAACTTCTGGTCATTTCACCAATCCAAGTATGTTTTAAGTGACTGTCACAAAACCCAGCTGGCTAAAGTGCTGGACTTCCATTGGTCTGTGTATAAAAATATTCCTTTGACATACTTTGAATGCAAAAATGTGCAAAATATGTATTGCTTATAATAGGGAGTGAGAAATGCAGGTGGAAGGACGCGAACATGAAGATCTATTTGTGCATGTCCTAGACAGATGCATAGAACAAACCAGTTCAGGGTGTCTGTCTTCCGTAGCTGCGCAGAAGAAGATGATGGGTGTGGAGAGTATCTGTTGTATCTCTAAGGAACCAATATTTTATAACATCAAAAGGTATGTGAATATTGGATGTAGGTATTAGTGACTGGCATCGCACGTTTTTGCAGAAATCAAGGATCAAGTAGTTCACTAATTGATGTACCTTCATCTGTGCGGTGTATTTGAGAAGGTGGGACTGAAATCATGTTGCACGTTCCTTACAGAAAGCTGCAATGGATGTAGAGGAACAAGGCTAAATACACTTAAGCAGAATGCTTAAAGCCCCTCTAAATTGGGTTTAAGGGACAAAACAAAGCAGGTCAGGTAGTATATAGCAGTTAATTTTGTTTTTGCTGACTGGCTCAATGGCTCTGTCAGTATTTAGCTTGCCCTGTGCCTCCTTTGGACTGTACTTGTCCAGAGGTGTCACTAGAACTTGAGGGTAGCTGCATTTTGCTTTGGATGCAGCATGTATGAATTTCTGATGCTTTGTGAGAGGAGAAGGGAGAAGTAATTTGGATGTAGTTTGTGCCAGGCAGAAGGCATCAAGCAGACAACTTGTCCTGTTTGCAATGAGAGTGATGGTTAACTTGTCGGCCGGAGTGAAAGTTTGCTTGGACTTTAGCCTCTAAACCTTGAGCTGCCTAGTCTGGGTTGGTTGGGCATCACAATTTTAAACCTGCGATAAAGTCCTGCCTAGAAGACGTTGGTAAAGATCTTCCTGACTTCTTCCAGCGTGTGGGTTTGTTTGTTTATTCCAATGAGTTGATGGTATTGTGGGATGGCCTGTAACTAAGGTGTTGTGATGCTAAGGAGCTGCTCAAGTCTGCTGCTGCTTTCCATAACTGAGTTAGATCTGGTTCATACCCTAAGTTATCTTGAAGGCCCTTAGCCTGGGGTAAATGTTTTGTATGCTGTTGTTTTAGGCTGTTTTAAGTTATTTTTTTAAGCTGCAGGTATTTTCCTGCTCTAGAGATGCATGTTAGGTGTTGTTTTTGTATAGGAAGACCGGAGTGCTTTTTATTTTCACATAACTGTCAAGAACGTGTTAAGTGATACTTCTGCTTATTTTCTTCTTTATCAAGGTAATAGCATGTACTGATTTTTCATGTTTTACTCCAGCAGCCTAGCTAAAACACTGCTGTGGGATTGATTTCTGTTGGTGGGCTGTCGGGAAGGAAGGGCACTGAAAGCTGGCTGACTTTCAGTCTGACTCTCAAAATATCAAGAAGGCACAGTTGAGTTGTGGGTCTTTACGTTAGGGAAAGAGAAAATCTTAAGGAATGCATACAAAATTTCCCAGTTGACTCATGCATCCGAGCTGAGGCAGGAAATGAAAGCTCACTTCTGTTATACATGTCATCAGACAGTCAAACTGGAAGCTCTGGGAAGTTCTGGGGAGCTGCTGAAATGGCCAAATTGAAGGCAGCTGATCTCATTCTGGTCTGCAGCATGGAGGAGGCTCTGCGTTTAGCTTTCCAGTGTTCTGTTCTTCTGAGCTTCGTGGTGCCTTTTCTGCCTGTGTAGGCATTACGAAATACCTCTTCTCAGCCTTCTGACAGTTGGGAAGAACAAAGCGTTGCTGAATTAGAGGTTTATTGAATTGACTTTGTAACTCCTGCAGGTGCAGTAAAACTTGCCCTGTAATACTTGCTTAAGGTAAATTCAGTTGCTTTCTGTGAAGCATTGATAAAGGCTGAAAAGTAATGCAATGAACGGAAAGCTAGATTAAAGTGAAGGAAAGTGTCCAAATCATCCATGTTGAAGTTTAATACCGCAGATATTATTATTAGTTTATTAACACTGCTGCCTTTGCAGTGTTGAAGTCTGTTTTCCTCTTTGGCCATGGAAGGTATACACGAAACTGCCATTTGATCTGGTAGATCAGGTTAAACCCCAAACTAGCAGTAACATTTCTAGAAATAGCTTAGTGGCCAAGAGTAAAAGCAGGCATTACAAATTGCATAGAGATTTGTCCTTAGTATGGTTCTTTTATTTGCTTAGTCTTGTCTTCTTTTCCCTAACCAGAGCTACTGCATAACAAATACTATTATCTGTATTTGTGTTTATGGGGGGAAAAAAAAGAAAAGGGAAATACTGCCTCATTTGTTCTTTGCCTTATGTTTTCGTATTTTTTTTTCCAAATTGGGGAAATACTGTTTCTATCCTAATACTGTTACTTTACAAAAAAAATACAAAGTGATATTTTGCAAATACTTGGACTTAGAGTCTTTCTGTATAATGTGATTTGCAGGATCTTCCCATATATAGGGTGGGAGAAATAGTGCAGTGACAAGTTTATTAGCAGTTAGCTGAAGAGTTAGAGCTGTACATACATCTGTTCTAGGTGTATTTTGGGAAGATGGTTTTTCAGGTGAGGGTGGAAAACAGGATTGGGTGCTGTGTCCTTCCCTCAGCTGGTGTGAGTTGGGCAGTGAGGAGATAGGTGGTGGATGTTTCCATTCTCTGCTTTCTGCTGTAAAATAGCAAAAGGGGAGAGAGAAAACGTTGTGACACGTTCTGTGCTGGAATATGAGTTGACAGTAACAGCAGGTCTTCAACCTCATTTCCCCGCTGTCCTTAAGCAGAAATCCGCAGGAGGAGCTGTAGAGCAGCTGAAGTAGCCGTCTCTAACCGGCTTGCAGATCAAAGGTCTGAGCGATCCCTATCTGCTGTTTACACAGCAGAGTGGGAAATCGCTTAGGCTGCCCAGTGCCACAGAAGAGGAAGCCCCCTGGGGAGGGAGACATGCTGCTTAGCTTTTTGCTTTCCCGCGGATCTGTGGGCAAGTGTTGAAAAACTTCAATTTTATGGGCAGGTGCTGAAGTCCATTAGCAGTTATTTTTAAAGTTTCTTGTCCCTCTGTGACATTTCTGTTGAGGGTCAAGGGACTCTGAAGACTCCGAAGCTAAAGATCAGTAGCCGTAATTTCTTAAGGTAAGTACCTGTCACTTCTCAGATAGGTTTGTTTGGTTACTGGTTGCTGTTGAGATCCAAAGTGGCTATAGTGGAGGTTAATCTTAAAGCGGTTAAGAGAATTAAATGTTTATGCATTGTTTCAGGAAAAGTGCGTTATCTTTAAAATGCAGCCGTCGTTCTCGTAGGATGGTTCTACTTATTTCCTTACTTGTCTGTGTTTAAGTAGATATGCAATTTAGGCTTTTGTTCCCACCTACTGTGTTCTTTCTGTGCTCGTGTTATAACTGTGGGGATGTCTTCTTGTTTTTAAACAATTAGTGTAGAAATCTGGGAATGCAGTTTGTTTTTTTGTGTACAGCTATAGTGAACTTAGATTGAGATGAGCCTGATAATTTGTGTTGTGTTTTGATCTTTGTATGTAATGAATTGGGTATTCTGTGTATTTCAGATGATAAGAAAGATATTGACCATGAAACGGTGGTGGAAGAGCAGATCATTGGAGAGAATTCTCCTCCAGATTACTCAGAGTACATGACAGGAAAGAAACTTCCTCCTGGTGGAATACCTGGCATTGACCTCTCAGACCCCAAACAGCTGGCTGAATTTGCTAGGTAAGTAGGAAGAAAGGATCTTCAAACTAAAAGGGTTTTCTTTCCACTGGTTTAATTAAGAAACTGTTGGGCAGAATAAATGATAAATTTAATATGGCTTGTTGTTCCTTTTAATCATCTTCTAAAACAAGGAACTTGATTCAGAATGGAGTGGTGAATAATGTATTAAAATAATTGGGTCCTGCATTCAGCAGGTGACTTCTGATCTTCAGTTCTCATTAGGCAAGGTGGGGCCTAAAGACATTAATAATCTGCATCTTTGATGTGAGAGAGTGCATCTTTCAGTGTCTCTGGTGACAAAGGATCAAATAAATGAAGTCTTGCATTCAGATCGTTCAGTACAAGAAAGCTAGACTAACACAGTTGGTAAAGCCACTTCTGTTTTTCACTTGCTTCTCACTTCTGAAGCTCTCAGTTTTAAACACAAAAGCCCTGCTGAGCTGCTGGGTGTGGTGCTGAGTGCTCAGGGCAGGCTGTGGCCACCAGAGGGCAACCGTGAGGTCACCAGAGAGAAGTCTGGTTTGGCACTGGATAGTTGTGACATTTGTGCAGTGCACTTGCAATTACAGAAGGCTTAATGCCTATTTTTCCATTACTTGCTAGGTGACAAGGACTACTGACCCAAGTTCTGATCTAGCTTCTTGGTTAGGTGGATCTTGGTGCCCAGTGAGCTGTGTCTACTCTAGTCTCACCTCTTCGATCTTGCTGCCTTTTAGAAGCTGCTTCTATTAGTCTGTGCTGTGATTCCACTGGAGAACTGCTGGTACAGGCTCTTCCCACTGTTTGCAGTAAAGCCATTAAACTCTGAATACTGAAGGCTCTAAGTAATAGACAGGGAACAAGCACGGTAAAACTATCTAATCTGGAAGTGTATTTTAAAAAAAAAAGTCATGAACAACTGAAAAAGGGATTTTTTTTTCCTGAAGTGGTGGGTGGTTTACCTATTGATGCTCTTGTTTACCTGATTTACTAGTAAAATGATCAAAATGAATGTGGTTTCCTCTGAGAATTGCTGAAAGGCTAACACACAATTTTCTGTGAAAGCAAATGTTTAAGTGATATTCCGAATGTACATAGTGTTCTAATTCTAAGATGTTAAACGTTTCTGCTAATCATGTGCCTAGAATGTTTCTTTCAGTTATTTTAAAATATTTTGAAACCTTTTGTTCTGGTAAGCACTGAGGTACTAAATAGTTATCTTTTATCTTCTGTTATGAAGCTGAACTAGTTTCTTACAGGGTTTCCTTCATGCACATACTGAACGTTATTCTCCAGATCAGTTTGAGTACTTGAAAAGGTTGCCAGGATTTGGACTTCTTGAAATTACCAGACTGCTTCTGTGAGATATTTCTGCATCCTTTTTAATATTGTAAAAAGTACTGCATCTTTAGGTTTTAGTTAGTCTTCTGCTGAGAGAATAGTGGCACTTGACCGTAATGTAAAATTTCAACTTCCTTGTTCAGGGTGGAATGTTCTAGGAAGTTGCAGAGCTAGAATTTGTAGTGGATGATAGAAAGATTGAGTTTTGTGTATTGTCTCATATTTTTCTGTTAATATATCTCTGTATAGCAGATAAAATTTGAACTGCTTCAGTCATAAGATGAACAAACATTGATACTGGGCACGTGTCACCTTCAGCAATGTCCCCAGGTTGCACAAAGCCTACAAAAATTGTTCTGATAGCTTAATTGCAGGTATATGAAAACCTTAGGCATCTTCTGTTTTAGGAAAGCTTTTTTGATTTCTTGGTCAGAATCAATGATTGTCAAACCTTCACTCTTGCCTTAAAAAAGAAAATTGGAAAAGAAAACAGAGTTAGTTGTATGTTAGATCTGAAATGATTGTGTATAGCTGAGACTGGTGCATGTGGGTGTATCAGAATACTGCTTGCTATGGTCTTTATTCTCTTGCAGAGAAATAAACATGTTGAAGGGACTTCTTTTAGCTAATAAGATGAATTCAGGCTCTAATTCCTCAGATCTCTTTTTGTACTGCTCAGTTGTCTTGTTGATCTACATATTGTGTATCACTGAAAGCCTTCTTGCATGGCAAACTGAAAGAAAAAAACTGGTTCACCTGCATGAGAATTGGGTTTGGAGGTATAGGGTTTAGGAGTACAGTTGTATTTGTATTCCTAAAAGGATGTGTTATTTAGTGTCAAGTTCTCTGAAAGTTCCAAGCATTGCTTGAAGGATTACAGTATTCAGACTTCAAAAATTCTCAGCTGTATTCTGAAAGCTTTGACCAGCATGTTAAGTTTTAAGAGATTTCAAATTCACAAGTTTCATGTGGTATTGCCTTGTATTTTGATGTGGAAAAAGTTTGTGCATAGTCCACATATAAGGAAGCATAAACAGGCTAGGAAAATCTAATACTAAGTTAATTTTGTGCAGTTGAAAACAAGCTATTTTGGGATGCTTTCCCATTTTCATTAAATTAGTTGGAAGAAACGTGCTATACATTTGTAAATCAGCTACTCAAAACCAGGCTAGATTCACTCTTTATACCCGTGCAGCTTATATTGATTAAGGGTAAATTGACTGAGACAGTTGCATTAATTTATGGGAACAGAGTTCTGAGGTTAACTTGAAATGGGCAAAGCTTGGGTAATTTAACTTGGGTAACTTAAAAGCTTTGTGGCCTCTTAATTAAAATGCATGTTGGAATTTAATTTTAGTAGTAACCGATTTCAGGCAGGGGTCTGGAGTTCTGAGTCTGTTTAGTGAGGGGTAAAGAGGGGTGGTCTCAACTGATGCTTGAAGTCTTCTGTATTGCTGCAGCCTTACAAAAAGCATTTCAGAAGCTGCAGAAATTCAGCACGTGAAATGGGCACCACTGCTGCTCAGCAGCTAGGTGGCACCAGCGGAACGAGCGTTTATTCCATCGACATACCGCTGGATTCTGTTGCCTTTTTGGTGCGTCATTGAGTCATGTAACAGGAATCTGGGCCCTTTAACTGGAACCTCTGTAGTGATTCCTGGAAAGGGTTTTTCTACATCCTGAAACTATTGAAAACACCGCAAATAAACAAACTGCATCAGAACATTAAGATCTGCTTAGTAATTCATAGATGAATGACTATAAATTATACCTGTTGGGAAACTTCCTTCCACAAATTACTGCATTCTATTGTACAACTCATGCATTTTCTCTACTACGCTTTAAAAATTCAATAAAAGTAAAAATGGATTTGTGTATTTCTCTAAGGCAGTCAGATCAGAATGTAAAACATTAGTTGTCAATGATCTGCAACAAAAGAAATAAAACCTCATAAATTACCTCCTTTTTCTTTCGATACCTTTTGGCTGGGACACTGAAAGTCCATTAAGGTGAAATAAAATCACAGAATCGTCTAGGTTGGAAGAGACCTCCAAGATCACGGAGTCCAACTTCTAACCTAACACTAACCAGTCCTCCACTAAACCATATCCCTGAGCTCTACATCTAAACTGTCTTCTAAAGACCTTCAGGGATGGTGACTCCACCACTTCCCTGGGCAGCCCATTCCAATACCTAACAACCCTTTTGGTAGAGAAGTTCTTCCTAACATCCAACCTAAACCTCCCCTGGTGCAACTTGAGCCCATTCCCCCTTATCCTGTCACCAGGCATGTGGGAGAACAGACCAACCCCCACTTCACTCCAGTTTCTTTAAGGTACCTATAGAGAGCAATAAGGTCACCCCTGAGCCTCCTCCAGGTTGAAAACCTTTGATGAAGGCTGAAAACCTTGGATGAAACCAGGTTGAAAACCTTGGATGAAAATGTTTCATCCAAGTCTAAACCGATTACGAGCTGCTCTGTAGTTAGATGTGAAGCAGTCATAACTGCTTGGAGAAGTAACAGATGTGTTTCTAGTTGGTGCATATGGTAGGCTTCTTTAAAATTCCCCCAAACAAATCCCCTTGAAAACTCCTGTCTGCTCTCTTGATAGATGACTGAACTGGCTAGAGACAGCACAGTACAAATATAAGTAAAATACAAAGAAATAAAAAGAGAAGTTGGGAAATTGGCACAGTAATGGGTCCTAGTGGTAAAAATTATCTTCTCTGTGGCTTTATTTTCTGCTCCTCTTGGTACCTTTCCTGGAAGAGAGCCATTGGAGGAAGTGCCCCTCCTGTTAAGACGGCTTTCCAAAATGGATAGAAAACAAAGGCAAGGCTACTGTGTTAGAGTTTGAAACTGGACACCCTTCTTAAACATGACAAAGCATGCTGGCCACCTAGCTTTATGACTTAGGCCTCTTTATAAGGTATGTGCTTTTGTACTCAGTCTTGTTCTTGTTCCAGAGACACTTAAAGGGCAGTAAACTGACAATTGCTTTACCCCAGGCATTACTCGGGGGAAAGGGAAATCTCTTGCTCTGTCCCACGCTGCTAAGGTCACTCTCTGTGTTTACATACATGATGTTCTGCAAACTGGAACAAAACCAGTAACTATTTTTGCTGGAACCTTGGAACAAAAGGGAACAGTTTAATTTTACAACAGTTCTGGGCCCAGCTGCGTCGGAGGCTAACTGTGGGCTCTTTGATTGTAGGTAGATTCCTAGGACACCTTGTGGCACTCCCTTTGTGTCTGTTTATCCAGAAGCCAGTCTAGCCAGTTTCAGGAGCTCTTTAGCACAAACTGACCACTTGTGGTACTTCTGCCTCAGCAGGGCACTATGAAGGGTGTGACAGTGAGGGAACAGACCAGAAGTGGAAGTGAACCTGTAGAGAATAACTTCCTCCTTTTCTAACCATTCATAGGGATGCGGTCATCAGGTAGAGGTGAATTATCACTGTTGATCATCAGAGACCTCCAGGAAGTGCAAAAGAAGTTGCCAGGGAGAGAGTAATGCTGTTTAGGTTTCTATAGAGGGAGAAGAAAAAATATGACAACACAGGTTTAACAGGAAAGAAAAAAAAAAAAAAAGATAGCGAAAGGGAGGGTGGATTTCTATACTGTTAGTTGCTTTTGACTGCTTTAGCACTGTTTCTGTGGCTAACTTGTTAAAAATCTGATTCATCTCCAGCATAATTGTTTGTGGAGATTGACAGAGCTTTGATGCAGAGGTTCTACTGGAAGGAACAGCTCCTGCAGGGCAGTGAAAGGAGGTAGTTAGCTGTAACTGTCACTGCAATATTAGAAAGAAACTTTGTTTTGAGGAATGGTTAATACCTGTGATTTCACTCCAGCAATGTGATGCTTTAAATACAAGTTATCAGGCTTAGCCTTTAACTGCAATGTCCTGTACCTGGGTCTAAAAGGTTATACTTCCATTTTTTTTGATGGTCTGCAGTTGTTACTGCTAGACGTGGCCCACAGAAGCTTGCTGCAGAAATGGGAATTCTGGTCTTGCCAGTGGAAATGGGCTCTGTGCAAAGGCAGCTGTTTTGGAAGTTCCACCCAGGTGTTAATGTGTGCCTCCATAGTTGCTTTAAATAGCGGTATCTGCTAGAGTTCTGGTTTTGGTCAGTGTTTCAGGCTAAGAAAACTTGGGAGGGAGCTGGTAGGGATGTTCTATTGGGTGGGAACCAGATGTCTAACCACCAGCAAGAGCTACCTGCAACAGTGCAATTAAGATCAGCAGTCCAGGTTCTTCTAGTCTGGGCTCCTCTTGCAGAAAGCTAATTTTAAAGTAAAACCAAAAACTTCCTTTAATACTTTTGAACTTTTAAGTCTTTAAATTCTTCTTTGAGTGATTATCCACGTGGATGCCACTACTTTGTGAGCAGTATGACACCTTGGACAGAAAATGACCTGCTGTAGCTGTGCTTGTGGTGTCAGTACGCTCATGCCTTTGACCCAGGTGTACAAAGGGCCCAGCAGCTGCTTGTTGCCTGTGCACTGAGATGCAACCTGGGCAGTGTTTGCCTCTTACTCTTGATGTGTCTGCTTCTGTTTTTTTCAGTAGCACTTGGTTGCCTGCGCAACCCTGTGATATACACAGTATTGTTCACAATTTTAGGCTTAAGTTGCCCACTTCCCATGTTTCCACAGGAGAAAAGAAATGGTTTAAATTGTATCTGTTTATTGGCAGAATGTTGGTGTCATTTTGTAGTCAATAGGGACTAAATGTTTATGTAGTCAAGTATGCTATTAGGCTGATGCTCCTTAGTTCAGAAAAGAAACAGAAAACTAGAAAGTCAGCTTGTTCCAGAATGGACGCTTCCAATATTGAGTGCCTGCTCAGACAGTAAACTGAAAAGGTGTATGTTGAAGCTCCAGTCTGTGCCAGTCTGACTGTCCGGTTCAACCGAGCTTTGTTCCTCAAAGTTCTTGGCTACACCAGTCTAGAGGCTTCCTGACCACACAGGCCAGGTTATTCTCCCTCTTGTTCTGCTTTAGCAGCCTGGTGTGTAACAGCCTGTTGTAGCATTTCTTGGTCAAAGTTGGATTCAATACTGGAGGCAAGATACAAGAATTAGGAATAGGATTTAACTCAGTGGTCAGTGCTATCTTGTGCTAATCCCTGCCTACTAAAGCTGTTAACATCTCTTATTACTGATTGCATTTTTATCTAGTCTCTCCTTTTACAAATGGTCAGTTATGACCTCAGAACAGTGATGTTTTTACTGATTCTGATGATGTTGTGGACATTGATTTCGGGCTTAGGGGCATTTTTGTTTTAGGGTCAGGGAAATGAGTTGGCATTTACCAAGTTGATAGCATTAGAAGCGAGGCAGGGATTCATGGGACCGGATTTGTCTGCTAAGGGTGTCTCTAATGGCATTAAAACATGGCACTGTGTTCTCTCATGTCATGTATTATCCAAGCACTTTGTCTTTTGTCCACGTTGGCATTACAGACACACACTTCTATGCTTTGTCTTTCTGTAAAACAGAAAAAATGAGATGCAAAGATGCAATAAGGAAAATCCAATGCAAAGGGTAGTTAAGTGTTCTGTAGAGCTACTGTAAAAAAAAAAAAAAAAAAAAAAGCGTGTGTTTTGCCCTACAGCCTCAGAGTCAGGAAAGTTAAGGTAATAAAGGTGGTCTGCACAAACAAAAATAGTTTGTGTCCAAGATTGAGATTTTTAGACATGCTGTTGGTGATGGGATGAGAGGAGCTCTGTCAACAGAAATACCTCACGCCTGTTTTTAAGGGGTTGTTGGATATGATACTCTCCAGTTCTCATATTTTTGTCATGTATGTATTAACCCTTGCAAGAGGCTGCAGTGTACTTCAGTTAGCCCTGCACATATTCGGTGTAGTCTGGAGATGCTAAGCAAGCAGGAGATTGTTAAAAGTCCAGGCAGAGAAAGGAACTCAATCCTTAGTTTTTATGCTGTGCCTGTGCTATGTCTGCAACATGGAGAGGAGTTGGATTGTTTCTGAAAGACAAATGATGGCCCACAGAGCCATAGGAGACTTCTCCATCACATACTTAAGTCTCTGTTGGTGGTTCTAAGGAGATTTCCCTGGATCCAGTCTTCAGGAATTCTCAAGGAGGTTTTTCACTGCTCTGGCCTTAATTCAGCCTCAGGAGGCCTTCCTTTCCTGTCCTCTCTCCTCTATCCATGTGAATGACGCAAGTGAAACTGCAGATTTGAGTCCTACTTACTTATATGACAGCATCAAAGAATCCTGGAACCTACCTGCAAAGAAACAAATGCTTATATGGTCAAAACAAAGAGATTTTAGCTTATTTTCCCCACAGCTGTTGGGGGTTGTTTTGATCATTTAGAAATTGTGTTTTAACCAGTTCGAGTGTTAAAAATGCATGTTAAAAATACATGTCAGTCTGTTTTCAGGGACTGTCGTGATGGGGATTAAATCGCTCTGGGATAGCAACAGATCCCTCTGCTTCTTAATGTTCAGAGTAGCAACTCTGCTCACTGCAATTCTTTTGTTAAATTCAAGGCACTCATCTCTTTAACCAGCAAAAACACGAGAAAACCTTTTGTTTAACTTGAGGTAGCTACCTGTCATATCTGTTGTACAGAGCTATCTTGTGCTGTGTTACCAGGAAAAAGAGTTGAGGAACTTGACTAAATGGTGTAGCTCCCCTTCTCTGGCAGGGTTTTGGAATGGGTTAAAATCTCATACCTTGCTTAAGTGAAACTCCAGCTGTGTGAGGTGCATTTACTGAATTACTTACGCTTACATACTTATATTGGAATCTGCTGCGCTAATCATGCCATTTATTTTTGATATTTTTGAAGACCGTGTGCACTACAGGTTTGAGATACAAGGATAGGTAAAGGGGCAGTGTGCAACTTCCCAGGGTACTGCCTACACACCTATCTCTTTTTGGACATTCAGACAGATTGTGATTAGAGCAAGACTGTTCTAATGTCATTGTCTACAGGGAGTCTTATGACTGTACTTGAAACGCCTAATTTCTGTGCAAGCATTAACTTGCTGGGCTCCATCAGTGGAGGTTAATGGCACAGATAAGGTAGTGGGATACCTCTGTTAATGGCTAAAATTAAGTAGATGATTGCTTGTCAGTTGACAAGAGTGGAATACATGTGTACAATAGCTTGACGTAAGAATAATTACAATTTCTGTGGTTAAAACAGATGTCTGCATTGTCAGTGTAGATTCTACAACTTGCCTGCCTTTTCTGCTTCTGTAGAGTTTTGTTCTGAAGCTTTGTGTGATGAAACTACTGAAGAATGATTGAAACTACTCTGTCCTTCATGTCTGAGTATATGGCTACGTGCACATATGGCTACGTGCACAAAAAGAATGGAATTTTCAAACAAAATGTCCTAATTATACTTAGTGTAAGTCAGGAAGAACCTTATTTCCACATACTCGGAACTAGGAATGTAACATTAAATGTCTTATTCAGTGTTTGAGGCCCTTCTAGAAAGTTGGGCTTTCCAAATACAAAAACCGCTCTTCCTATTATTTCAAGAGTTCTAAAAATATTAAAAAGAGTTATTACTGATGCACATAATACTATCGAATAAATGCGTGTATTACATAGGCAGTTGAGGGAGAAGAGCTGTCTACCCATGTTTTTCTACTAATGTTTTTTTCTTCTTTTTAAGAATGAAACCAAGAAAAATTAAAGAAGACGATGCTCCACGAACGATAGCTTGTCCTCACAAAGTAAGTGAAGTGCTCAGCTTCTGACTAGATAGTGATTTGTAGATCAGAATTTTATTCTGATGTTCTCTTGAGAATAAGCAACATGTCTAGTTGTAAATAAATTATGCTTGATTAACTGTATTGAAGTTATCGCTCTTATGAGGCTTCCTTGAAAACCTTTCACTGAATATTATTCCCATTCCTTGTCTTAAGGTTAGTGCATCCCTAATCTTCTGGTAACCATGATGCACAGTCCCTAACATGCTGGTTTTACTGTTGTGATTTCCTGCCACCCAAGAATACATACTTGAAAGAATGTTCTGAAAGCTGTTCAAAGTACGTTCCTAAGATCTATATATTGTCTTCTTGGAAGCTATGACAGATTTGGGAGTCTAGATCAGGAATCAGCAATCTATGGAGCAGATGCCAAACTTAGCGTTATTGGAAGACTTTGAATTACATTCCACAGAGCTGGCGGGTGCATCGTTTTGAAAGAGAGAGGGACATCTTGCAGATACGATTCTGAAGAAACACGATTCTGATCTGCTGGTAGTGGGGAGGCCACTGTCTTGAATAAATGTTGCCAGTCACTTAAATTGGTAGCATCTAGTTTTACTGCATTACCCAGCTTCTGTAGATCTTCTGTTAGCCAACTTAATCGGTAATGAAAAAAGACAATACAACCTTGCTGACTTCTGGTCTAGATGGTGTGAGCTACTAAGTAAGTAGTGAGGGCAGATAGCTAATAGTGCGTATGGGAGAGCATGGATAAAAGGCTTCTTCCTGAAAGTGGTAGCATAAGAAATTTTCACTTAATGGATTCCTCTTTGTGCTTATATTGATTTCCAATTCTTTACATTCTACATATCATGTTTTTACTGTCATCTAGTGTGTGGTGATACAAGAACACTTATTCTTTACAATGCTGAAGAATGCTGCCTTCATTTTTGATGTATTTTTTTCATAGCCTCAATTTCATTTAAACAGGAAAAAAAAAAGAACACTCAATCCTTCCATCTTCTCTCCTTTCTGATGTTTCTGGGCTATGTGTATTTATGAGTTCAGTTTAAGAAAGGAACATACTGCAGAAGATGTAACTGTTCCTCTCAGAGGCAAACAGGGACTTGAAATAAATGCACACAAGTCCATGGTGTGCTTATTTTGGTGCAGCACTTCTTAAATTAGTAAAAGAAATTCTAGTACCTGAAGAGAGAACTCCTTTAAAGTGTTAGTTTTCCATTTTTAAGAAATAAGGCATGTTTAAATGTGAATATTAGTTTTGAAGAAATAACTTCCAAAGAGGATGCCTGTAGAATTGAGTATTAGCAGTTGATTGTTCTATAGGTACTGTTATTGAACTTTGTGCCTCCTAACCCTGCAGTGTTGGTAGACTAATTTTTAGGTAAGCTGAAACAGCATCGCTTGGAGTACAAATAGAATTTACAGATGTTAATAGGATTTCATGAGGAGTTGTGTGCTGTGAGAAGTACATTTTTAAAACCTAAGATAGCTGTCTATTGATCACTGCTAAAAGGTGAAGAAAGGCATAGAAATGTTGAATAAGAGAGCCACAAGTCGCTGCTGGCTTAAATTTACCCTGGAATTCCTGTGTTGATGCAGTGTGTACCCCAGATTAAGACCTATGACATTGTACCTGAGTTCAAGTGAGTATGACTAGGTCGAGTCGACAGTAACTCAAGAGATCCATCTGCCTTATTAAGTTGCCCAGTATCACTTCGTGGGTTTAAACTAGAATTGGTGGTTGTCTCTTTCTGTGCCACAGGGGGTAGTGATCAGTCTGCTGCTGCAGGTGTGGGCTGGGTAGTTGCTGTAAGCGATGTTCTGGAAGCCCTTGTACTCCATTTCTTCTCAGGAATGAGAAGGACAGAAGGAAAAGGATGGAATGTTGGAAGACAGAGCAGGGCAGATACAAGTTGGTGCTAGAGAATGCTCTAATGTACCACAGCATGTAATCTATCAGATTGAAGTACTGTAATACTCAGTGTATGGCATATCAAAGATGATACCATAGATAGCTATGAACTACCATTCTGTCAGTTGTTTTTTTTTTTTTTTTTTTTTTTTTTCTGAAGGTGCTTTTGTTAGCATATTCACTTGCTTCTAGCAGAGCTGCATCTTCTCCACAAGACTGTTCTATTATTCATTTGACTGCACATGGTTTGTAATACTAAGAGAAAGAGAGGTATTTTGTTTTGTTTTACTCAGCTTTTCATGTTATTAGTTTTCATGGTATTACTTTTATTTGTTTATTTTGAAATATATGCAAGGGGTCTGCTTTACAGGGACAACTTTTCAGAAAGTATTCAGGATTTGAAAGCATTTTAAATGCTTAAATGCTTGTACTGTAGCAGGTAAAACTTAACAGAACTAGCTTATCTACTAATTGAGTTTCACTGTTCTTCTTTAAGGGCTGCACAAAGATGTTCAGGGACAACTCTGCCATGAGGAAGCATCTGCACACTCATGGCCCTCGAGTACACGTATGTGCAGAATGTGGCAAGGCCTTTGTGGAGAGCTCGAAACTAAAGCGACATCAACTAGTTCATACTGGAGAGAAACCCTTTCAGGTATTGTTAACTTGCAAACCACAATTTATTTCTTATAATTTGTGTAGGCTGTATAACCTCTCTTCTACATCTCTTTGGGGATACTCTTTGTTTTGTAAAATCAAATGAAGCACTGAATGATCATCTTTAAAATTGGAAGTCACCTTAAATTAATTAGGCTGTCATTTATCTACTTGTGTGGACATAGAAATAAGCAAATTGTTTGTACGTGAGAGATATACGTGAGAGGTACCTTCCAAAACATAATGTGAAGTTGCTCACTTGAAAAATGAAGCTTGCAGTTACTCCTGAAGGAGGAAAAAAGACATTTTCCTCTTTTTCAACTTCCCACATTACACAACTGACCCTCAGGGCTGTGTGTTCATTTGATTCAGAATACTAATTTCTAGTAGTGGGTATTAATCAATTTTGAGGAAAATGATGGTAGTTACTGAATCTCTTTCCATTCGTATCAAGTCACATGAGCTTCTGCCACCAGAGGTCTCCAGCCTACTTCATATGATATTTCTCCTTCACATAAATATTCTTCACATGTATTCATAGCTTTGAGCGTACTGTGTTCATCAATACTTATGTACTTTTTTGCAGATATTTTTGAAAACCAAATTATTTCAGAAATTGCAGTTCTTAGACACTCAGATGTGTATGCTTGAGCTGCTTTGTGTTTCCTGATTAGTATTTGCAGTTAAACATACTGCTCTTTGTATTCTGAGCCCATCTTGGAAGTAAAGCTAGTAAAATGAGCAAATCTTTACAAATTATTACTGAAAGGGAGAAATCTGATGTGGGACAGTTTCTGTTAACTAGTACAGCATAGCAAAATACTGTTTTAGGTGCAGAGAGCAGTGTTTTTTTTGTTTTAGTGAAAGCATTTGCTTGCAAGCTAGAATTTATTTTCCTCTTCTAAATCTGTTATACTACTGTGGTAAAACAACCTGAAGTATTGTTTAAATGCAATTTAAAAGTAATGCCCACAGTTGCACTTATAATAATCTTCAGCACCTGGCTTTGTGCTTGTGCAGTGTAGGGTATTGTTCAAATCTATGATTGAAATGGGTGGTGCTTTTATTAGCTAATAGAATGTGTCTTTTCCTTTCAACAGTGTACGTTTGAAGGATGTGGAAAGCGTTTTTCACTGGACTTCAATTTACGCACGCATGTGCGAATTCATACTGGCGACAGGCCCTATGTTTGCCCATTCGATGGCTGCAATAAGAAGTTTGCGCAATCAACTAACCTGAAATCTCACATCTTAACACATGCTAAGGCCAAAAACAACCAGTGAAAGTTGGAGGAAAAGTTGTTGAACTCAAGCATCTTACAGGAAATATGAATTGGAAATAAATACGCCTCCCCTTTGTATATTGTTTCTAGGAAAGAATTTTAAAAAAAGAACCCTACAAACCTAAAGGACATGTTTTGATAAGTAGTGAATAAAAAGCAAAAAAGAAACAGAAAAACTTTAAGGTGACATTGCTAAGATGCTCTACCTTGCTCTGTAATGCCGTTTCAAGAACACGGTGTTTTGTAAAGTGACCCTGACCGGAGGGGTCCGTTCATGAACTTGCATCAAAAGAGACAATTCTTTATACAACAGTGCTAAAATTGGACTTCTTTTCACATTCTTATAAATATGAAGCTCACCTGTTGCTTACAATTTTTTTAATTTTGTATTTTCCAAGTGTGCATATTGTACACTTTTTGGGGATATGCGTAGTAATGCTATGTGTGATTTTCCTGGAGGTTGATAACTTGCTTGCGGTAGATTTTCTTTAAAAGAATGGGCAGTTACATGCATACTTCAAAAGTATTTTCCTGTAAAGAAAAAAGTTATATAGGTTTTGTTTGCTATCTTAATTTTGGTTGTATTCTTTGATGTTAACACATTTTGTATAATTGTATCGTATAGCTGTAATGAAATCATGTAGTATCAAATATTAGATGTGATTTAATAGTGTTAATCAATTTAAACCCATTTTAGTCACTTTTTTTGGAGAAATACTGCCAGATGCTGATGTTCAGTGTAATTTCTTTGCCTGTTCAGTTACGGAAAGTGGTGCTCAGTTGTAGAATGTATTGTACAGGCACTGACCTTTTATTAACACCTGATAATATGTACATCCCATGTAATAGAAAGGGCAACAATAAAACAGTGGTCCTAAAGAAAGAATATGGCAGAAAATGATCTGTAAGCACAGTCTCTTTTGTTGTCCAGAGCAATCCTAGTCCCTCTTGACCTCCCAGAAACTGGAAGCTAAATAAAGTCAAGTTTCCTTTACTTTGCATTTCATTACAGTGATTTGTGATGAAATGACTTAATGCCACATCAGGTGGTATGCCTAAACAGAGCTGGTGAATATAATGCTGTTTTCACGTGACATAGACTTCCATTAACTGGAACAATGGATTTGGAGACTTGGCAGTGAAGTGAGGAGATTTTGGTTTGCCTGGACAGTAAGCAGGTGAAACAATACAGTGAATAGTTAGACGGGCACCTTTGCTTAGTAAAGGTAAGGGATTTTGGAGGTTTAAATACAAGAGCAGTAGGAAGTAGGGGAACCAGTCACATTTGGTCATACCAGAAAAAAGAAAATTGTCTTTTTTTTTTTTTTTTGGTTAACTGAATATAATGATGAAAGTTCTTGGAACATCCTTGGACACCTTTCATTTCAAAACAGGAACTCATAGTTCTCAAAGAACTTTGATGGATTTTTGGATGGTCTAACTAAAAGTGGGTACTACTCGTTTTGTTCAAGTGTTCAAATAAGAAACTTGCAGATGCTATAGTAAAATGTGACAGACTAATAAATATAAGAATATGCACAAAAATGCATAAGTTATTTTTTAGAGGAAAGTGATGAATATTTTACAGTAAAAACTGTTGTTAATCTTTTTCTGAATTCTGTTCTTACAAGGTTCATCAAACATTTCTTGGCCAGTACAGTAAAATGTACTTTTGAGTCCTGGTTTGGTGGTAGTGGGGGGAAAAATGTGGATAATATAAAACTACACTGAAAAGCAAGAGAATTGACGGCTGTATCTAAGTTAATTTGAACGTTGCAGCTCTAATCTAAGGTTATTAGGAGTAGAAAGAAAGACGGGCTATTTAATTCTAAGGTATGCACTAGAAATTTGGCAGTATTATTTATAAGCAGTTATTGAACAGGACAATATACTGAAATTTGTATAGTTACGGTTAAGTTAAATTCTGTATTCAGTTAAATTAGTGTCTATTCTTTTTGGAAGGAAATAAAATCAGTTCAGTCTAGATCTAATTGACCTTTTTTTTTTTTTTTAATGGTATATGGGATGTTAGTCTTGCTCAGAACTCTACTATCCTGTGTCATGAAGTGGTACCAATTTTATTGCGTTGCAAAGTAAAGAGATCCCTTGATGGTATCACACTTTATCCCTGAACATTCATTTGCAACGAAGTTACTTAAGTTTAATCTTCATTTGAAGACTAACTGGGAGCTGAAACACGCATTGTCCCTAGTTATATTGCATCTGTGTTAAGGAGTGGTAATTTCATCTAGGCATCAAACTGGTAAGCATTCAAGACAACCCCAAGCCTACGGAGCAATGATTAGTAGCATGAAAGATCTTGCTTTGTTAATGAGCAAGTTCCTTACTGGGGTTGGATAAATACTTGTGATGAGCAGCTTCTGTCAGTTATTTGTGCTTTTCAAATATAATTGGCACATCTTGTTCTTAAAACTTCATGCTTAGTTGATTCCAGAGTTTTCCTTAGGCATTTTTGGTGAAGAAAACAAGCTTTGACAATAGCAACAGAGTTAATAGCAACAGAGTTGACTCTGAAACCACAATTGCCATCCTGCTATCTGCATGTTCCTGCTTTAAACCATGAATTTGTGAGCACGCTCAGGTAAGGCATAGAAAATCTTGAGGGCTGGGGGAAATGCAGCCTAGTTTTAAAACTGGTAAAAGATTTTAGAAAAGATTCATCGTGCCTGCTAAGATCCTTCTGTGACTTCACATTTCATGTTACCTTATGCATTTATCTTGCAGATGAAATGGAAGAAGGTTCTGTAACTTTGCTTGCACATAGGTTTCTGTGGCTGTGTATCTTTGGACTTGACCAAACATAGAACTGACTATGGGCTTTTTGAGCAGTGCCTATGTTTATGTTCTGCCTGTAACAGTAGTGCCTGCTTTAAATGCAAGGCAAACTGAACTGAAATGCCCATTATTTCTAGATACACTACTTGAAAAGAGTAGGAAGAGCCCAGGTACAGCTTTGTTAAGAATTTATTCACTTTAGTGTTTCAAACAGAACTGGTATCTTCTTTATTATTCTCTGTGGCTGCACTTGCACTTGACGCTTTGGACCAAAAAGTTCATTGTTGAATGTACAGTCTAACACATTATTTATTTCTTATGGCCACAAATTGTTAATCAAAAAAGCTATATCCAAACATGTTTCCAAACAACATAGGTTGTCAGCAATAATGTAGTTTTAAAGGCAAACAATTCCTTTCTCTTGGCTTTTTCATCTACCAGGGATTTAGGAAAAGAAGCATTAGTTAATTGGCAAAATTACTGAAGCTTTAAAAAGCTACAAAGGGCTAGATGAAGTGGAGTGACTGGGGCAATGAAAGATATTACCACTTAGTCATCAGTTGCCCTAAGATGCTCACAGAAGAGACTATCAGTGTATGCATTGAAAAGGCTGGAACCAATTAATCTTTCTAATAAATTAAGATGACCAGACTCGAGGATAGCATGTGATGAATAGCATTATTGGAAATGTGGTTCTTCAGTGCTTTGAAGAAATGAAGAAAAAACAGCATTTTTGTCACAGTTGCTAGTCATGAATTGAGGGGTAGCTGCTACTGATGTTGGTTGATCCAGTTGTTCTACAATGGTAATACTTTGGAAGAAATGAAAAGCTTTTCAGCCGTAGTATACCTCTCTTAAGCCTGCCTTATGATGGCTTGAGAGGACAAGGGAAGCAAACAATGGTTTGTGTCAGCATTAAGCTTTGACTTTTTAGTGACTGCAGAATTATTTCTATATTGCTTAATGCTGTGGAGAAATCAACAAGTCTTTTGAAAGCTTAAGAATTTGTGTTGGATTTTTAATTGAAAGTAGGGAGTAAGATTTGCAGGCAGAAACAGAAATGTGGATTTGCATCAAGTACAATTATTCATAGTTGTGTAAATGGAATAGTTAAAAAGTAACACTTTCCTAGTTAGGAAAATTAAATAACTTCTTCTGTCAGCCTGTTTCTGCAGTCCTAGGGTGAAAGAATGTGAGTGACTTGAGGGACACTGTGAGACCCTGCTGCAGAACACTAAAAGCAGTGATCCGAAAAGGTTCAAAATTTAATGGAGGAATATATGTGCTTGAATTGTCAGGAGATTCAGTATTTGTTTTGATCTATGAATGGATCTAGTGTCAAGTTGAAAAAGGCCAGTAGTGGAAAAGGCTTTACGGTGATGCTTCAATGCCACCTGGATGGCTACTAGCTTCATTTTGTAAGGTAACGTAATAATTTAATCTCTGGTCCCTTAGTTTCTTTCTTTTTGCCTAAATTGCGTCAATTTAGGCAACTTCATGTATATTCACAATACTGTATTATTAAGGCAGTTTTGCTTGAATTTTTTTAATCTATTTTTGTGGAAGTAATCTAGAACATTACATTTTCTTTTGGAAAAAGCACAGCAGTTTAGATTCAGCAGTTCAGAAGTGCTTTTTGATTATTCTTTTTTTTCAGGTCCTGACTTCCCCTTAAGCAAAATTATGTATTTTCTGCTACTTTAGGCAAATAAGTAAATTTACTTATAGTAATTGTTGTTTAGACAACTCCAGTTGTGTGTGTGGTGTTTTTTTTTTTTTTTTTTTTTTTTTTTTTTCTGAAGTCTTATTTTCCTTTTGACAGAAAAACTAGGATTGGCTGCTGGTTGGATACCGTTTCTTCTAACGGGCTTTGCTCTCTATTGTGTATTCAGATGTGGACGTAAGGTTCCTCTTGTGAACTGCTGTTCTCACCGGGTTCCTGTGTAATTCGGAAACCCTTCAGCAGCAAACCTGAAATTCTGTAGAAATACTGATTTTGGACGGGCAGGGAAGAGGCAGAGAGCCCCTGGAGTCCTTGCAGGACTTCTGGGTGGTTCTCTTGCTGCCACTTCTGTGTTAAGAGTTCTCATGGGTTTAAATGTAGTTTCTCTCTAATTGGCTTGAAAGTAGCATCTATGTTGATGCTTTATTTTAGTCTGTATAGATACTCCTGAATAACAGTTCGCCAAGAGAGGGCTGTCAATTGTGAGATCGTACCAGCAGACAAAGCAGTGTCAGGGTGCCCCTGTGAATCACAGAATCTGTGAGCAAAATTGTGTGTAGGGTGTCTTGAATGTAACAGTGTCAAAGTAAGTTCCCCACACACTAGTGCAGGAGAGTAAGAAAACCCTGTTTTACTGCTGTTATGGAATGATTTAATGGCTTATAAAGTCAGCTGTCCTTCAGAGCTGCAAGATGCTCGCTAGAGACCTCGCTAGTGTTGCCAATAGCAGATTTGGCTTGCAAAATTAGTGACTGCCTCATGCAGGGGGCATCAGGCAGCTTGTGTTAAAACACATTTCTTTTTCCCAGCAAAGCAGAAGATTTGGCCTTTGGACATGAATTCTGGTTAAGAACCAAGACTCACTGAAATACCTTTGTTTTCTTTAAAGCGTCTCAAAATTTCTTGCATCTCAGTTTAAGGGTATGAGATGAGATTATTAATGTGTTGTTTTTTTTTTTTTCCCTGTCAGTATTAATGGAGCTGAAGGCCCCCACACATGGCAAAGGTGTAACTAATTATCTGTAATGTTAATCCCATAGCGAGGTACCCAGTGCTTTGAAGCTCCAGTGGATTTACATGAATCCAATGACTCCCATAGGTTGAAAAGACTTACAAAAAACTGCTGTGTGGAACAGCATTGTAAGGAATAATAATGTGGCAGGTTCTTAGTTTTTTGTCATGTGAGCTCTTTTGTGTTTGTTTATTGTTGTTTCGTGTTGGTTGGGTTTTTTGTTCGTTTTCTTTCTTGCATAGGTTAGGGATAGGAAGTTTTGTAACATTAGTCCAAAGAGCATTAGGCTTTGAACTAACACAGTCAACGGCTATGGGAAGTGCATCTGGTTCTGGGTATGTGTTTTGTTTTGTTTGTTTTGTTTCCCCACTCCCCAAGAGTGTACACTGAAACTGCATAGTCCCTCCTTTTCTGAGCAGGGAGAGAAAACAAGAGGAACTTCTGCCTGGAGAAAATCGGGGTAAGAGTTACTTTTACTTAGCTCCTTGAAGTTACTAAACTTGAATTTTATTCCTAGCCCGTTTGGAAAATGACGTATTGTAGATTCATCCTTAGGTGAAAATACAACAGTGCTTCTCTCAGAAGGGGACCTTTTGGAAGGATGAGGGTCTTGCATGCCAGCTTTCCCTGTGGAGAGAAACACTTATAACCTTCAAGGGAGAACCAGAGCAAATCCTGGTGTGTTTGGGGGTGAGGGGGTGACACCGGGCGTTGTGTCCTCCTGGGACAGTGTGTTGGGTCATCCCTAGCCGAACTTACCCTCAGGGGCTACCCAGAAGGAGGCTGTGGCTTACCTGGCCTGATAGCAGCTGCCCGCTGCCAGCCAGCTTTCGCAGGCTTTCCTCAGAGCCAGGTGCAGCTACTGAAAGCAAGCGTGTTGTGTGGAGTGTGCTCAGTGAGGTGAGTGCTTTAGGCCAGCCCTTCCTCTATCTCACAGTCAAACTTGGTATTTCTGACCTTCTGGCAGGGCGGGAGCTCTGTTTTTCAGCTAATTTTCATGCCAACTTCAGTCCAGCCAAGTGAAACCACTCTAGCAACACTTCTTCCTCTTCTGAATTTTTATAGGCTATTATTTTTCACAACAAACCTTGCCTTGCTTGCTTTTATTTCTTGTTAATCAAAATGACATTCTAGGTCAAATCAGTGAAAACTGATAACCCAGAAGTAGACAAAGCTTTTACTGCATATCATTTGTGTTCTCATGCATATTATATTGATCTCTTTTAATCTTTTTTTTTTTTTTTTTTTTTTGCTTGCTGTTAGTGCCAAGTTATTTTTATAATCCATGAGGACAGCAGTGATACAGACTGTGAAATACTTGCACCGGGAGTATGAAAATAGCTTATTTTCTTCTGCTTTCCTCCACCAGTGCCCATGAACATGTATAACATCCTGAACACTGAGCATGGAAACAGGCAGTCATCTCACTCAGGATTTCAAAGCCTATTTCCACTATGTTTTACCCAGCAAGAATCTGTGATCTGTGCTTCCCTCCCCATTTTCTATGCTTCCCAGAGTCAGATGGTCCTTTAGATCCTTCATCTCTCCCCATGATTACAGTGCTTGGTATGGCATGTTGCCTTCAGCAAGTTTCTATTTTCCATGGCTCCTTCTCTGGTAGGAAAGAGGTTTAATTGCACTTCCTACTAATTTAATGATATTTGGCAAGCTTCTAGGCTTTAAGTTGTTCTTTAACTAAGTACATATCAAAAGTCTGGCTATAACAACAGCTGTTAACACGTATTTTCCAGCAGTGATAGTAAATATGCTTAATTTCACAGAACAAACACTTCCATTCTCTGCAAGGTCAATTTTCCTATTTAGGGCTTAATGATTTTCCCAATATGCTACCTGTCCTGTATCTGCAATGTACACATTTTCATATCACTTTATTTTTTTATAGTTCACTTGAAAAAGTAGCGAGATGCTTAATGGATGAAAAGAAAGTCAAGGTATAGAGGACAAATAAAAATACAAATTCTATGGTGACAGACACAAGAGTGGAATTTTAGCTCAGATTTTCTATACTGACATATTTGTGGCTCTAAGTTAGGAAGACTTGTATAACCCACCCTGCTACTGGGGTGGATCATAAGAGTAAAGCTTTAGGACTTGGTGGTAGGTTACCTTTCACTGAGTTTTACCTTCCTATTCCCTTCTGTTCTTGAGGAGCTTCTCCCACCCAGTGCCACGATGCTTGTGGGAGTGTCTGGGGAGGCAGAAAACAGTTCTGACTTGGTTAAATGGGCCGATGTGTCAAACTTCTGGTAGGAAGGAACTGAACTGTGTTTAAAAAGGCCGAAGCTATTTCTAGCTTGACTTAAATATTTGAAATAGCACAGATCTCAAGCAGCTGACATCAGACTAGGTTGAAAGCTGGCTTCTACCCTCTCCTTAAAACTTGTTCATCACGCAGTATCAGTAATCTCCAGTGCCTGCTTCTGATTATTTCCTTCAAGTTCCATATGGATGAATTTCTGTAAAGAATGCTTTAGTGAATACTATGAGTAAAATGCTGTTTAGCCTTTTTGATTTAATGAGTTGACTGCCTTCTAGGGGCTGTCTTTCTGAAGACACTTCGTTGCTTATTCCAAGTATTTGTTTCTGTTCCACAGTTCAAAGCTGTTGCTCCTGCTGAGAGAACACAATGTGCTTAACTAGAACCTCATCAGGACTAGCTGGGGAAGGGGTGGCCTTTCCCTTTTCTGATGCTTTGACAGGGTTTCTTTCATTTATATGAAAAGACCAATGAGGGAGCCAGTCCCTGATATAACTTCCTATTAGCAATGATTTTTTATTTTTTTTATAGGTTGTAACCACATCCTGCTTTCCTGCATGGTTTTTTTTTTCCTTGCCTCCAGTATTGATGGTTTTTGTGGGCTAATTGCTCCATCTGCTGCAGGCTGGGTAGAGCAAGTCAAAAATAAAGAACAATGCTGCTGGGACCTTGCCCTTACCTCAGTAAGGGGAAAAACTCCAAGTGCAGTAATGTGCCCATTAAATAGGACAGATCTAGAGTAGAGCAGAATGAAAAGTAATATTCCCTGAAAACCTAAATGAACATGGAAATGTTGAAGAGCTAGAAACAAAACCACACCTGATTCAGACGTGGTACTTGACAGCTATGAATGTGCAGGGACCCTAGCCTTGCCTGCAGCAGTTGTGTAGCCTTGGTGCTGTTCAACTCTGCTTATACCAAATAAATGCAGTGTGATGGGTCCAAATGCCCTGCCTGCTCTAAAGGCAGGGCTGTTCTATTTGTAGCTCTGTCAGCTTCAAGTGAGGTACTCGCTGAAAAGATCATTTCGAAGAAGCCAGGTGAGGCAATTTTCCATCTTTGCTTCAGCCACCTGATGTGCTCCAAGCCAGAGCAGGATGCTTTCCTTCCCGGGGTGCATGAAAGGCAGATGGAGAACACATTTCTTCAGGCAAAAGCCAGAAAACCCACCCTTTTGACAGCTAGATTTAAAACAAATAAATGTCTGAATAAAACATAAGAGGTTAAAGAACTGACATCAACTTTTTTTTTTTTTTTTTACAAATTTATTCCCTCAATTTTATATACAATCATTCCAGACTTCTGTACAAAGGTGTAAATGGTCTTTGCTGTGAGTTGTGCATGTGCAGCTTAGTAGACAGGTTTAACATTCAATTTGAATCTCAGTGCAAGTAGGCACTAAAACACCCAACATACCTTCAAGGTATAAAAAGACATACCAGTTTTACAGGTTTCTCCAGCATATTTTGTTACAGTGCAAAATGCTATGAAATAAGGTTTCTTTAGAAAAAAAATCCATTTAAATTAAACACATATTGCACGTGTCCCATCTGAAAGTGTAAGAAGCTGTACTTACTGACCTAGCTTGATACGTTTTTAGAACATTTTTCAACCCGCATGCACTCCTCTCTCCTGGCTATTTGTGCCAAATATGTGTAGTTCTGCTTCAAATGCTAAATAGCTGTTCATAGCTCTAAAGCAATCCCTCTTGAACAGACTGCTACAAAAGAAATCACAGCGGATTCATGTAACAAGGAAAATCTACAAAACCCTTTTCAGTCTTCTTTCCAGTAGCACTGTAACTAAATACATAGACATCAGTATTCTTTAAATGCATAATGCAAGTGTATCGAACACCAGCCATTACAGACGCACCCCTATTTTCTGGAAAGGTAGGAAACCTCCAGGTCTACAGGTGTATGTATTTCCACAGTACTTCAAGCTGCTAAGCTAACATTACACCCACAAACACTTTGCGCAACAACACAGGTAGGACTTTTGACTTCTGTACATCACTGGCGGCTAGGTTGCAGGTTGGGTGAAGTGGCACAAAGTTGCATTAACTTAAAGAACAAAGTCTGCTTGGTCTGAAACTAGGCAATGTGCTCTGTGCACCTGCCAAACAAGAAGTAGAGGTGAAGGCTGATAATATTGATCTGGATAGCTTTGAGTTTCCCTAAATCCTTACTAGCCTTGAAATGTAAAGGCACATCTGCATATAAGTGCAAATGCTAACTTTGTGCTTAAGATATTTATTCAAAGCTGAAAGGCAAGGGAGTGGCTTAGAAGCAAATTATTTCTTTAGCAAACCAGTATGAACAATGATGCTACTAAACAAAACTGACACTTAAAAGCAGAGGAAAAGTAAAACACAACAGGGCTAGCTGAATGCTAGTCCATGTCTTAAACAGTTCAGGGTTACCTGCAAAATGCCTCCAACACTTAACTTCCTCCTCCTTCCCCCTACCTCACATTGGAGGCCTGTACTTACTCCTGTTACAAACAAGAAGCGTTTCTTTTCTGCAGACATTTCTGCATTCAATTCAGCTCAGTCATTCAGAACATGGGTGGAAGAAAACCTGATTCCTGGTACTACGAGATTCTCCAGATCCTCTTCTGGAGCCACAACTGTACAGTACTTTCCTAAAGGCAGGTCCCCGTCTTACTTGGCTACTACAGGATATTAAGTCCTTGGTAAGGCTGGATGCTGTTTGTACAAGTAATGAGATGAAATCCTAATTTAACACATTTAGGAATTCTTTATACAGGTAGCATACATTTACACTACTTGTGCGGATCGACTGTTTACAGTTAAAAACCAGCTGGGCTTTGGGTCAAGAACAAACAGGTGGTGCTCACAGACTGGAAGGCTGCTGGATTACCGGACCTGGTTCACATTCCCGAAGGTCATCTTCCGACCTCATGTACATTAGGAACACAGTGACAGTAGCAAAAGTAGCTGCATTGACAGGAAAAGCACGGAGAAGCGTAGAAGTAAGGCCTCTTGTAAAGACCCTCCAGCCCTCTTCGTGGTAGCTCTTCCTGACACAGTCTAGGATCCCGTTGTACTGTGTAACGCCCCCGACGCCGTCCGCCTGGAGCCGGGACTTGATCACATCCACAGGGTAGGTGGAGAGCCAGGACACGATCCCTGACATCCCTCCAGAAAACAGCAGTTTGGGAATAACGTAACTGTCTTCAGCTTCACAGCCTAAATACCTGGTCATGCAGTCATAGGTCAAGAAGTAAAAGCCAAAGCTTGGAGTCTCTCTTATTAATGTGGAGACCATGCCCCTGTTGATGCCCCTCAGCCCTTCCTTTCGATAGATTTTGATCAAACAATCCAGAGAATTTTTATAGTTCTTCGTTTTTAGTTTGTATTCACCTGTTCCTTGTAGCTGCATTCTTGTCTTTGCCAACTCCATGGGGCAGCAGATGATGCACTGAATAGCCCCTGCTGCTGACCCCGCGAGGAATTGGTTCAGAGGAGTGTCTTTGCCAAGGGCACGAAGGGTATTTCCTTGTACACCAAACACAAGGGCATTAATGAAGGTAAGTCCCATCATTGGTGACCCAATACCTTTATAAAGTCCAAAAGCCTGATGGAAGAAGGAAAAAAAAAAAACAAACTTTTTAACAGTAGTGTTGACAGCCTCCTGAAACTGTGCAGAAAATGTCCTTTCTGGCTCTTACTTGTGCTCTAACTTCCCAACAGTGCCAGAAGATCAGTCTAATGTTGCTTTGTACATCACTGCCTAGGACACAAACAACTAAATGTTTTTTAGTGGTACAAATGTCAAAGTTAACCTTTTACTTATGGTCTTAAAGCTTTAAAAAAAAAAAAAAAAAGCCCACAAAAAAGTCCACACCATTTTCTTTTCTCATTGCTTGCATTCTCAGGAAATTAGCTATTCAAATATATAGTTATTTAAAAGTTAACTTTTCAATGTTAAAGTTAAATTTAAACTTCCAACTTACTATCTGGTGAACTTCTAAACTTAAGTTACCAAGCCTGAAAATGCTGATGGAAAAGTTATGTGCTTTTAATTTTTATTTAGTTAAGACTAAAGTATCTGCACTGTGGTCATGTGAGGTTCAGAGTATGCTCTTCTCTTGATCTATGATATTTGTAGGTTTTTTGAGCTGCTTTCCTTCCCTTCTCATACAAAATACATATGAAATTTCAAAATACACAAAGCATTAACTTCATACTTACAGATTCTTGCTTTATGATGGACTGAAAGCAATGGAAGGTCCCACGGTAGAGAGGTTTCTCTACATTTTGAACTTGTAGGCGAACCTATAAAAAGTTGTATGAGATACTGATGTGTATGGCAAGAGCAGCATAACTGGTAAACTAGTGACTTGTATGGAGATTTGCTATAGAAATGTATATGCAAGAGCAAAGGCTGGACACTGGAATACCATATGTGGCAAAATCATTTAAAAACATTCTGTAAGTGTTTACAATTATTTGGGGAGGGGCAAGGGGCAAAAAAAAATTGAAGGGAGAAGGGTTATTAATTTATTGTGAAAATTAGAAAACTGGTATCTGGAAATACAACAGGGTACACTGTTTTCTAGAATTTCAGATTTTCCCATAGTGACTACAACAAGTGCTTTCTTTAGCTGCCAAGAATATTTCTGTCCACACTAAGGAATATCTGTACAAACCTGATAGCATTTTATAATAAATTATTTACAAGTCAAGCATGAAATAGGGATTATTTAAAAGGCTGGAAACTTTCAACAACAACACATCTAGTGTTTCTGGCTACTGGGCTTGGGGCCCTTCACTGAGATCAGATTTTTTTTTCTGAGGTTAGATGGGAAGAGACTTAAGATATCTTACAGTTGCTTAAGGAAAATAATAAAAAGTCACTCCTCCCTTTAAATCTTAAGTCTGTTTTTTTAACTTGCTGAAAGCAAACAATTTGCAAGGGTGTGGCTGTTTCAAGCCTTTAATGTTTGTAGTAAGCTAACTTTCCTGAAACTGACATGGAATGGCCTTCTGGAGCAGATGATGCTACTGTTTCTGATGACATTAGGAGACAGTCACATTTTCTAGGTGTTTTTTTAACCTTTAATGTGAAAGTCCAATTCAGGTTTTCCTGCTAATTTGCCTTAAGCACACTTCAATAAACAGAAAGGCTCAAAGTTACTTCGTACATCCAAAACTCTGCACTGCAATCAACTCAGTAAGCTGGTTTCGCTGGAGTGGTGAAGTTAGATATCTGCCTTTCATCTCCAGCTTGGAGGGCTGCAATATTCCTGAGAAGATACTTATCAACCATTTACTGCTGCTGCAACTCCAGGGCAAAAAAAAGTTCAAGATTCTTATTTTGAACAAAAGAAGGGATTATTAGGTCTCTGTAAAGGACTCCTGACTTCAAATTCTTTTTTATCCCTCTTTGCCTAAAATAATAACAGAACCAACACCACCACAATGAAATAAGATGATGTGGGTCTAGAAACAATCTGGGGATGTGGTTTATCAGAAGTCCCTATTAAGGTTAGCTTTCTTCAAGGGAAAAAATAGTGTCAGCATTTTTGACATTACTACAATGTCATTTCATGTTTTGTAAATCTAAACTTTTGTTTTTAGTGTCTTTTTAGCATGCACATTAGTTTATGTTAGCCATACTCTAAGGCTGGATCACCTTGGGTCTGCCAAGATTGAAAAGGTTTTAAAACATCTTAGAATTGAAATTGAGAGTAAGCTTAGAGTAGAATTCAAGTAAAATAAATCCTTTTTTTTATTCAAAGTCATGGGGGAGGATGTAGTGGATTTTTTAAAAACTGCTCAAGAAGCAGACCCATAAGCAAAGTTATACACCTTAACAAGTCAGAACTGCACAAAATGTAGGTCTTACTCCATTTATGGTTTTATTGCTAATTTCAATTTAATTTATTGCTTTATTTCAAACCCCAGCTGTAAAATCGAGGGACTTTCAAATGTATAAACGTTGAAATAATTACAGCTTAGGAACCTTTTTACTTTTGTGTGCAGTTATCTTTAACAGCTTAGAATTATCATAGATAGTCTGTATATAGGTTGAGTTTCCTATTGGCATAGAGCTTCTACTATCTTTATGTAAATGATACATGAAATATTGACCAACTGTAATGTTGTAGAATTAAATATTCAGAAAGTTAAGTACTGACACATCAGGCCTAAGAATAAAAAGCAGCTCTTTGCTTTAAACAATAATGACCACATTAGGGTGCAAACTGGCACCATAGTTACAGACTGCCAGATGAGACAATGAATGTGTATGAAACTTTGTGTTTTAATTCTAACTTCAACAAGTTTTAATTTAGTGAGTATACATATATGAATGAATCAATCACAAAGGTTAACTGTCTATTCTATTAATTTGCCAACAGTCATTGTGTTCTTTCATTTTGTCTGTCTTATTTGAAACCACTGTTACTGAGTGTTTAAGTACAATAGTAACATACTGTAATTTCACATTGCTAAAAACTTGCACAGAGGTACTCAAGACTAAAAAAAAAAAAAAAAAAAAAGGCAAACAAAAAAACCCTTCTAACAGTCCAAACAATTAATGATGTGTGAAATAGAGTTGTTTGAGCAATGGAAGTTTCTTCCAAGGACATGTTGTGGATAAGACCTCAACAACAGTTTGCCTGAAATTCAGTTTTACAGCCACTGTGTGTGGAAGTGCATACAGTGAGAAATGCATACCAGAAAGAGGGTTCAGAATAAGACTTTACATTTTTATTTTCATTTTTAAAGGGATATTTAAACCCCGCTCCCTCCATGTCATAGTTGTAGAAGAGGGACACATCACTTTAAAACTAAAAAGGAAAAAAAAGCTTCATAAGTCTTTCAGAGCTTTATTTGAACTATTACATTTTGGAATAAATTAAGACTGAGAGAAACAGAAGTGTTCACCTGGGCTATACTTACTAGGTAACTCTCCCGTGATGAGGCTTATCTCTCATCTACAACAAAGTAACACTTTTGCTGTTAATGAAGACAGCCCCTAGCTCAGAAAGTAAAGGCAGTTAAAAGCAAAAAAGCAATTTTATACATCACATCAACAAACCAGGGATAAGAAGTTTGCCAGCTCTGAGATCAGCTCGCTGGCGGGCTTCTCAGCCTGACCTGCAGGCTCCAGCTCTCTCTGCATGTCCCACCAGCCCCCTCCCCCTTGTGGAACATGATCACTGGCAAAAAAAAAAAGCTTAAAAGTCAGGGTGGAAGTAAAATTCTGGCTTATCTAAGAAGCTTTCCCACTGTTCAGTTAGATTAAAAATTTAAAGTCTAAGGGGATGACCAACTAGCCCTTTAAACACTGCAGTACTATAAATAGAGTTAATTAACACATATACATATACAACAAGTTATGCATTTTTTCTTTCCTTTTTAAAAAAATAAAAATAAATGGTTATATTGTTAGTTTTCCCACATACGGGGTGATTACACCAGCTAACAACACAAACATTAGTGTTTTCTCTAACAAAGGGTAGATAACTTTATCCTTTCTAGTGGTATGAAAGCAGCGTTCCACACTGGATTTCATAAAAAGGGTTAAAGTCATCTGGAAACAAACTGCTTTGCTCTACTGTACAGCAAGATGCTTTGTCTTAAGCCAACACATCCATTTTGCATTAATACATCTGCCAGAACTAGCATGGGAGCCCCAGTTTTGCAGTCATTTAAATGTTTAGTTTCATGCAGTATAAGCTGTTCCACTTTAAAAACAAAGAACCCCACACACGCTTAACTTTAGCCTGAGCATAATGTTTTAGCAGTTTTGCTGGCTTTCAGTGAAGTGACCCATCACCGAAAGTTAAGCATGTAAAACTGGCCAGGACGGGGGGAAAGGAGACAGCTGTCCCTGTACCACCAGAAAAAAAAGTATGCAAGTCTGGGTAACACCATTCCTGAAAATATTTACTCTAATTCAACCCAGTTACTTAACAGTCAAATATTCTCAGAAACATACATATAGTCTTTAACGATTTGAGCAGCTTGCACTTGACTAGCAAGGACTAAAATCCACTTGCTAGGAAAATCTGTTCTTTCTGCATCGATTCACCCACGTGGCTAGGAGACATAACATGGTGATGACCCCTGTAATACTATCAGCCCTTTGCACAGCTAAATTCAGTAAGGTAGAGGCATTCCAAATATAGCCACGGCGGGTGGCATGCTGTGTGCTGCAGTCAAGTGATCTGCTGTTAGCTTAGCAGTGAGCATACTGGCATCCCTTGGTCTATTCTTCCAGTCAGAGACTTTAGATAAGGCTGCCAAAAAGCGACTTTAGTCATCATCCTGCTCTGAAAAATGGGCTTGGGCCCCTGGGAATCCTGGCTGAAGGGCCTCAGGAGGTTTAAAATACTCCAAAAATCATATATTTGAGCAGGCCTTAGCTACCCTTAGTATGCATAATGCATGCAGTTAACAGAGAATTGATTTTAACTTGGGAAGTTACAGAATACGTATATTACAACACCTCAGAGATACATATGCAATACCTAAAGGGAAAAAAAAAAGGCCCCAGACAAGCATCATGCTGTGGATTTTTGCCCACTGACACCTACTGGCTAGTGTAGCAAATTAATGCCTGAGGAGTAAGCAGTAGAGCTTCGGGGGAAACGAAACAAAGCTTTCCATCTAGTGACAAAGTAGGCTGGAGTTACAAGTGCGGGTAGAGGCGGTTCTATCAGTTAGTGGTGAAGGGCTGCAGAAAAGCAAGCTTTGAATAAAATGAAGTTAAATGCAAGATCCTGTTTTCAAATGCCGTGATGTTACTGCACTGACAAACTTGTGGTTTGGGCCAACGTTTGGTCATGTTACAGGGCTGAATCATACATACAGGGAATCTGTTCGCTTCTGAAGGGCTGGAGGCTACAAGTCTATGAACCATAGCTCCAGAGGCTTGCTCCAAGCTTTCAATCACAGATTTATGCTGCTACAACATCTGGGGATTTTTTTTGTTTTCCTCCCCGGCTCCTTGGAAAAACATCAAGTTTCCTACTTAGAGACAAAAATATTTCGTCATCAACCCACCTTGACGGTGTCGAAGGGGTGTCCGACAAGCACTCCGGCAGCACCTGAAACAAAGCAGACGGCGTGGTTGTGACCAGCAGTCCCGGCTCCCTGCTGGGATAGCAGCACACGGCGTGGTGGGCAGGCCAGGAGGCAGGACACCTACGGTGTGCTCCCTCATGCCAGTACCAAATGCTTTTATGCTTCTGGCAAGCTTGGGAGCTCGAGGCAGGGACCGAGCTGTGCGACTATGGGGAGCGCCACGTCACACGGGATGCTCGGCAGCGGGTCCTGGCCTCAGCCTAAGGCAAGTGCAAGGGGTAGAAACTGCAGACTGCCCCGAAAGCGAATTATTTCATCAACACCCGGCTCTGGGGAAGCGTAGAAAACCCGGAAGCACCTCTAAAGAAGGAAGAAATAGCCAGCTCTCTGCCCGGTGCCTTTCCAGATGGGACAGTGGCACCTGCAGTAGGGCCGTCTTTGCCTTCCTATAGCACCGAAGGGATTTTTGGAAGCTACATGCAGGCCTATCAGCCAGGAAAACACAGCTACCAGCCAAAGCAAGGGCTCTGCTAGCTCCACGCTGCTGTGAGCCCAAACCAGAAGAAGTCCAACCCGCTGCTGACCGCTGACAGCGAGGCCACAGGGAGACCTGTGCTGAGCAGACAAAAAAAAATCCCTGTGCCAGGGGAGCACCGCGACCAACCGAGCAAACGCGGTACGTGGCTCCCCCCATCCAACACGCGATTTCCCAGCCGCTAAAAATAGGAAGGGGGGAAGGAGAGGAGGCCACAAGCAGGGGGGCGAACAGGGTGAGCCCCACGATCCCTCCACCATCCTCCCCTGCACCACGGCCCGCGGGGGGACAGCTCCCGGAGCCCCCCCCAGCGCTCGCTGCCGCCCCCCCTCGCTGCAGGAAGCCACGGGCGCTTCTTCCCCTCCCTCCCCGTGCCCAAACCCGGCTTGGCAAGGGGCACAACATTTATCATTCCCCCCCCCTCCCAGCTCTCAAAACACCCCTCCCCCTTTCCTTTTCCCCCCCATCCTTTAATTTTATATCCGTATCATTTATTATTTTTAGCCTCACCGCCGACGCATCCCGCGAGGAAATCCAGAGCCATGCTCAGCACCCTCCTATAAATATATGTATAATTTTTTTTTTTTCTTAATTTTTCCACCCCCTCCCCCCCCCCGGCGGGGCCCGGCCCTTGCGCGCTGCCGCTCCGCGCACTGCCGCCGCCCGCCGCGCCGCCCGCTCTTTCTAGCGCCGGGGCCTCGCCTCCGAGGGGGCGGGCAGGAGGACAACTCCCCCCCGCCGTCCTCAGCCACTGGAGGCCGGGCTGGGGAGGCTCCGGGCAAAGGGCGGGACAGGGATGAGGAGAGGGGAGGGGAAGGGAAAGGAAAAAAGAGGGGGGGGAGGACCCGCGGAAGGGCGCTCAGCGCCCTTTCTCTTCCCCTCCCCTCGCTTCCAAGCTCATCCCCTCTGAATCCGGAGGATTTAACCTGCTCCGAACCCGAGGTTAGGGGAGAAATCGAAATGGGAGGCTGGGGAGCATCCTCCCCGCACAGCATCTCAGCCCCGGTGCGCCGCACGCTGGGATGTGGCTCCCGCACGCCTGGACTCACCGAGGTTTTTGGGGAGACGTTTCTTCCCAAAAAGAGTAGTGGAACAGGTAGCCCAGAGAGGTGGTGGGGTCACCGTCCCTGGGGGTGTTCAAGGAAAGGTTGGACCTGGTGCTTTGAGACACATTTCAGTGGGTGACATTGATAACAGGGGGATGGTTGGACCAGATGATCTTGGAGCTCTCTTCCAACCCTAATGTTTACCCGATTCTCCCCTCCCGCAGCCTTCTCCCATTTGTGCATTAACTCGACTTTCCCACTGGCAAATCTTGCCTTGGATCGAGGTGCCCGATGCCAGAGGCTTCCCAGGGGACGAGCGAGCTGTTGACAGCCCCAGCAGGGCGCTCCCTTTGAGCCTCGTGTTATTTCTGCAGGCAATGGGCTGAGGAAGGGCAATACCAGTGGCCTCGAACAATGAGGGGAATACCGAGCTCTGTTTAGAGTAACACGAGCTCTTCAGGCCTGCAAAGTCAGCTTTTAGGGAATAAATTCCAGAAGCAGATTGAAAAGAGCCTGATTTTTTTCTCTCTCTCTCTCTCTCTCTCTTTTTTTTTTTTTTCTTCACATTGTTTTCCATTGTACAGTTGTCTTTTTCCACTTGTAGCAGCTCACTACAATGACAAAAAATACTTGCAATGGAATACCTTATTATAATGAAGCCAGCTTTTACCTTCTGTGCAAAGAAAGCAAGAAAAAAATAACAACAAAGACAAGAATGCTGCTGACTAGATCTGAAACTATCAGTACAGACCAAGTCCTAAGAACCAGTCACAGATTTAGCAGCTCTTGGACCATCTTTACAGCTAACAGGCAGATAAGATGGACATGCAAACCATTTGGTGAATCCCTGACCTTCCCCATGCCTTCTTGCAACCTTCAGGACACTCAGCTGGGTTCCTTCCCATCCCTAGACACTGTCGAATCAAACCAAACACCCAGGCAGCTCCCAGACACTTTGGATTCCCTTTCCTGTCCCATTTGGGGCTGAGCAGCTGTTGCCAGAGAGCCTGTAAGCAGGCTGGCCCTGCCTGCTGGCTGCATCTCTGGTGGCTTTGGGAGCCCCCCAGCCCTGCTGTATCTCACAGGATTCTACATCCCAACAGGGAGCTGTGGCCTTGCTGAGCCCATGCACTTGAAGCCAGTGCTTGAAACCATACAGGAAGCCCTGGGCAGTCCTGTAAACTTAGACTTGTTCCTTTATAAGCATCTGCCTTGTAGCTCAAGCCTTGGAAGGATGAGCTTGGCCTAACGCATGCCTTATCTAAGTGTTTGTAATCTGTTATTCCAATCCTCTGATCTGCCAGGCAATCTGCCTCACAGGAATTACCCTCTCCACCAGAAGTGTTTCGTAATTGTAATGTTCGCCCACAGTGGGCAGGGGAAAGAAATTATTTCCTCTCTCTTTGCAGACACTTTCTAGGTTAGCTGAAGACAGTTTCAAATCTTAGCCTTTTCTTATCTGAATTATAGTGATCATTATTTTTGATCTCTGATTCTTGTTAGCCTCCTTTCTTCATTTGATTTGGATTTCCTTGAACTGCTCCCTGAAACCTTTCTGAATGAGTAATGGGCAATTCCTTTGGGTATTTGCAGACAACACTTGTTCATATATCTGAATAAAAGTCTCCTCTCCTCTCCTCTCCTCTCCTCTCCTCTCCTCTCCTCTCCTCTCCTCTCCTCTCCTCTCCTCTCCTCTCCTCTCCTCTCCTCTCCTCTCCTCTCCTCTCCTCTCCTCTCCTCTCCTCTCCTCTCCTCTCCTCTCCTCTCCTCTCCTCTCCTCTCCTCTCCTCTCCTCTCCTCTCCTCTCCTCTCCTCTCCTCATTTTATCATTGAATTGTGGGCAGTCAGCGACCCATTATATGCCCAGCCTCTTTTCAGACCAGCTGTGTGCAACAATTTTGTACTTGCACAGTTCCTATTTACCTAGTTATTCCCAGCTGTCCGTGCTAAATTGCTTTTTCCAGATGGTATTTCCAGTTCGTCAGGATCACTGGGTTTCTGACCTTGCTGTCGGTGTATGTGCAGCCCCTCCCAGGCTGCTGTAATCTGTGAAGGTCTGTCTTGTCCCTGCATGCTCAAGCTGTTTGTAATAAGATTCATTTAACGCTACCAAACCCCACTATGGCAGGCACAGACGTCAAGTTGCAGAGGGTGGGGGCACTCTGTAAGTTAGCACAGGGAACATCGAGGGCTCATTGATAAAAAGTTTGAGACCTCAAGAGTTGGTTGATCAAGGGATGAACACGGACTTGATCCCACACTGGGGTTTTCTTTTCTTCATTTTTTCTTCCTTGGATTTTTTTTTTTCCTGTTTGAGTTACGTTTGTGAGGCAAAGTTTATGGATAAAGTGAGGTTATTGAGCTTCCCTGTAGGGAGGACAACAGCTGTGAGCCTGTGTAGGTGCTTGTATTTGTGTGTGATGCCTGTAGGAGCTCTGTGATAAAAGGGAGGAAGTCATAGAGCTCTCACCATTTGTCACTATTACTTAGGCCAGATGTTTTGCCTATTGATCCAGGGCCTCATGCATGCAGTAAAGATACAGTTTTGCAGAAGAGAGCTTACTGATACTCATACAAACCCATATTTGATGTCTCTTTTCACTCACGCTGTTTCTCTAGGCAGTTCAGCAGCTGTGTCTGATCCTGTGCCCGCCCCGCTGATGCATGACGCCTCCGGCTCACGGCGTGACTCAGGCGTTGGTGGGAGCTCTTGTGCCCTTCAGGCTCCATGGATCCAGCTCAGCTGTGGCTGTCTTCCTTTTCATTCTGCTGAGGCAGAGCCAAGCACGGTTCCCTGGAGAGCTGGGGTGAGGAAAGCTTGTGCTTTCCTTGATTTCTTGTTGGGAAGGATTTAGCAACCTCGCTGGGCAGTGAAATGTGAACTCACCAAAGAGAGGGCCTACCAGCTCACACAGCCTGAGAGAAAAGATTAGTTATAGTTTAATGTCATCCTTAAAAGACCTTGTTCCCTTTGTCCCATTGCCTTTTTGGTCTGAACTATGGCTGTGCAGGTGGAAGAGGCTTTGTGGCTGATGCTGGAGGGCAAGGCAGGAGCACAGTTCTCACTTGGTTCTCACGCAAGAAGCATCGCTGTCGGCTTCGTTTTGACCTTGGTGGCACCCAGGCAAGATCTGGGAAAAGGTGAACTGCATGGACACCTGGAAATGGGAAGTAGGAGTAGGTAGGGAGAGGAAGAGATTTGGAGAGGTGGAGAGAAAAGAAGCATCAGGGCAGGATTAATGCTGCAGGTAAAGAAACACAGAGAAAGGGCAAAAGCAGAGCAAGTTAGGAATGGCACAGAAACATGAGGTTATGATAAGCTTGTAAAAATCCTGGTAGCAGTAGTGTGCAATAAAGTACATAGTGTTGATCCAGATGTTATAAAATCTTGAAGTCTTGTTTGTGAGTCTGGCAACAACAACTGGCAGCATCCCAGCAGACATCTCCCACTATAATATGGAGAGTGATGGGACTGGGGGGTCTTCTGTTTGCTCCCCAGAGTTTCACTGGGACTTGGTCAGCTCTGGGACCAGCTGTCAGGAGAATTTCCTTTCATATAGCCCTTTGCCATTGGCTTTTTTTTTTTTTTTTTTTTTTTTTTCTTTTCTCTAAGCTAAAGCATCACTACATCATCACAACTTCAGTGCTCATGACAATATCCAGAGCAACTCATCCAGTTCTCTAGTTCTCTCTTTATTTTGAGCTGGGGCTGGGGCTGCACTTCTCCTTTCTAACACCTACTTTGGCTCTATGAATCAAGCGTCAGAGGCAGCATCTCTCTGTACCCTGCTTATGACGTGAACCCTGGGTGGGTGGCCATGAGCACACAGCCATATGAGTGTTGCATCTACACTAGCAAACTGCTTGAAAAGAAAATCTTTCATTTTGCAAAGTCCAACACAACCAGGCTTAAAGTTCAGCTAGTGCTTCACCAAGTGGCTGACCATCTAAAGCAACAACAAATCAAAACAGTGAAATAAGAGAAAGACTAGGATGCAATGTTAAGTATGAAAGAAAACCTTAGAAGCTGAGGTACCTTGTGGAAACACCCACTGTCTTTTCCATGTAAAGTCACTGAGCTTGTGTGGATCCATGTCCATTCTATTAGTTTTCCTAAGCACTGTTGCATTCATAGCACCACTGGGAGTTATGTTACTGACTCAGGTCATTAGGATACTCCAAATCCTGAGGAAGCAGCTGCCTTTGAAGGCAGAGCAGCTATGGTGTTATTTGTAGTGGACTAAACGTCTTTATTATCCATTAACTTTATGACCTTGGATGGCTTTAGGGTCTTCTCTGATGTTACTATCCCACTGGCTTCAAAGGTACTGTATATCAAATGTTGAAACTTCCCGGCCTGATAAAATCCCTTGATAAGACAGGTATTTAAAAGCATGAGCTGCAACTGATCCATTTGTACAAGAGTCAAGTGCTGATGAAACAGCTGCTTTGCTTACAGACCTGCTGACAGGCAGGGTCTTGGAGATGCCCCCAGATGTCCCGCTCGGGATCCCAGACCGCTGAAACCCCTCAGCCCCAGGGGTGCTGAGCTCCAGAGAGGCAGAGATTGGGGGTGGCTTGGTGTGCTGTGAACCACCCTGAAAAGACTGGTATAGCTCCAACTTTCCATGCTCTATCCCAGTGAAGTGGAAACAGGTTTATTACTGGGCACACATGCCCCCCTGGAAAGCAGGACCCTTGCAGCTCCAAGCAGCACGGGCCAAGGTCTGACACATGCCTCCTGTTCCTTGTCTCAGCCTCTGTGAAGTGTGCACAGTGTGTTTAGTTCAGGGAGTTGGTTTCCAGTGCACCCATCTGTGGGAAAGGTAGGGGGAAGAAGCAGAATATGTGCTGAAACGGTCAGCATCCGGCCATCCTGAAGAAGAATCCATCCCTGCTCATAGCCAGCTGTCTTGCCCCTTGTTTAAAATATCAGTCCATAGCCATCCCCCGGTGCTCCCCTGGGAGCAGGTGAGAAATGAGCAGGCCACAAAACAGGAAAAAGCTACCCAGAGTCAGAATTACCTTTAATTATCTTTAATTTCAAGCACAAAGGTGTATATTGAGTTCTGGGAAATAAACTGCTCTGTCTTTTCCCCTTTTGTCATGTTTCTTTTAAGCAGCCAGCTAATGAGGGCAGGTGACCCCACACAAACACCTCCCTCCACCCTTCATGCTGGGTCTTTTCTTCTCTCTTCATAGGTCCCACCTGTGTTCTCAGGCCTGTGCTGGTGCTACAATGGCTTTCCAAGATGGTAATTATTTTTGCATGTGCATTTGGGGAAGGAGTTAGGTCCAAAGCACCTGAGCTGTTATGAGGGCTATATTTTTTGTTTGCTGCAGGTGGAACGAGTTTGTTTGCTTCTGGCCTCTCCTGGAGAAAGCACGGGACACTTTGCATCTGCATGCAGCCACAGATATGGAGAGCAGGGCTCCAGCAAGCACTAAGGTATTTGGCAGCACAGTTTTAAGATGCCAGCCACCACGGAGAGGCACACTGAGATAAGTGGGTGTGAGCTGAGCCCCGTTACCTGATTTAGTAACTGTCAGCCGAGTAGCTTTACCCATCCCTTCCTCTGTGTATTAGCCAGTCACTTGGCAAATACACTTGTTACTGGTGACAGTGAGCAAAACCAAAGCTTGTTGAGAAATCACCCAGAAGAAGAGAGAACTCAGTAGCTGGCATCTTTATAGCACTTTTCAGTCTGGACTTACAAACAATACATGTGTAACCTAAGTCTCAGGCTGTTTTGGTGAAGCAGAAATGTGTAGTTGTGCCCATTTCACGGATAAGGAAAATGATTTGTCCTTAATTCCTAGGAGACGAGGAGGCAGAGAGAGGAGGAGAACTTCTGCCTGCCTCCTGTCCGTCTTTTCAAGCCAGCCTGTTCTTACAGGAACCTTTCTGTGAGGCAAATGTTTTTTCGCTGCCAGCAGCTATACAAATACACTTGCAACACTGTGTGCTTGAAATCCTCTGGCATGCTTTGTATCCACATGCAAAGTCGATTCTGGGAGACCAGGTCTCTGGCAGAAGCAAAATGCTAAGTTACTTCACAGTGTAGGCGCACTGTATGATGCACCACTCAGTAACGCATGAGAAGGGAGAGCCAAAAAAAAAGTGGGAATATGTTGTAAGGCAATACCACTAAGGTGTATGGACAGACATTTCTTGGCCTGTCTTCAAGACAGCTTCCTGCCCGGCATCCAGCTCCATATGGAATATGGTTGTTATTGCATTTGTGGCACACAAAAGGCACCTATTTATCAGAAACTGAAAGAACAAGCCTAACAGCATGACTAATGCACCTCTGCGGAAACTTCCCAAGTACTCCACATGACAGGCACTCATACAGCTCCTGAACAGACGCCAAGGAAAGGACAAACAAAGGGTGATAAGTGAGGCTGTGAACTTCATGTGGTATTCAGAGACTAATGCTGTTAGCCCCAGAGTCTGAGTGTTCTTTGCTAATGCCGGGGGTGTTACTGAACAGGCTATGCAAACTGCTGGCTTAGTCTTCGATTTTTCTCCAGCTCGAGCCCATGGAAAAGGTCAGATTAATATCTGAGGCACGTAATTGAATGCTGGCTGATGAAATAGCTCCGTATTTCTACGCGGATTGTGTACTCTGCTGCAAAGATTTATGGCAGACATCCCTGAGTGAGTATTGATCAAGCTTGTGTGGGTACCAGTAACTCTTCACTCACAACTATATGGGGATCTTCACGGGCATTAAACTTGCTTTGCAGCATAGTTTTTAAGGGAGGTACTTTATTTTTGTTTGAATGCAATAATTAATTCAGCATAATTTCACTTGTTCTCTGTTCCTGAAAGATAAAAATCTTCTTAAATTTCTCTGTATACATCCTGTCTTAGCATAAGCTCATAATAATGCTGGTATTTAAAAAACATTCTCTTTTCTGAACACATTGGTGCCAGTTTTGGCAGTTAAGTATCTTTATAACAATCTTTCCCATGTGACTTCAGCAGCTAAACTCCTAAATAATAATGGTTTATAGTTCTAGAGCTGGGGTTTCTTCTGAGTTTCCAGGAAGTGTTGAGGTTATTAAATCATATCAGATCAGGTAGTTCAGACAGGAAGAAAGGCTGCAGGCTAGTCAAAATAACACAGCTTCCCATATGTTTTTCACTGCTGTAAAGCAGAGGTCTGAGGTCTCTGTGGGGATGCACGCACTGGGAAAAAGGCAAATCCACAGACACTGGAGAGAGCACAGATTCTGCAACAACATCATCAGTGGATCTTGATGCTTGCCACTGCTCCTACCAGAACTATGTTTTGCAGCCAAACAACTGAACGACTCCTGCTGCTCATGAAAGGTTTGAGGGCTGTGTATTAATATTGTCATGACAAATAAATAGTGTATTATTGCCAGGTGGGTAAAAGGAGACGGAAAGGGAGACTCCCTGCTGTGGGAGCAGGGGGAGGGAGCTCCTGGCTTCCCAAACCTGCTGACAGGTCACTGGCTACACCTTCTCTTCAAGTGCAGAAAATGTGCAAGACGTTGGAAGGTGGCTCAGCATGTAATTAGGAAGTCAATAACTGTCCTGCCATCCCCTTCCTCCATCACAGCCCTTCCAAAGTGCAATCACTCTCAGCTGGCATGAAGTCCTGTACAGGCTCTGGCTGACATGGTTCACTGTCACCTTTCCTCCTTCTTATCGTAAAGATTAGAATGTGAGAGGGGGATTTATACAACATTAAAAAGAACCACGAGAACCATGGGAGTTTGTGAAGGGTGGGTGCTAATGTTGGTGTTTCCACCTTTTCCCATGGTTTACTCCTGAATAGCGGCTGACAAATGTCTGACAAGAGCCTGAAATCCTTGCAGTGGCTTCATGGCAGCAGGAGCACACTGATTGTGCTGATGAGAGGATTAGTTACAGAGAGATTGAGTGACTTGCCCAAAGCCACGCAATAAATCTGTGTCACTTCTTAATCACTTGCAATCATCATCTTCACCTCCCTCGTGGGAGTGCATCATCTTCCCTTCCCTGGGAAATGTGTGCAGAAACATTACATCCTCCTATCAGCTTTCTGGAGGCAAAATCACCGATCATTTATACCTGGCTAAAAGCGATGCAGTGGCCAATGCTCAGAGTGGCTTCCTTGCTGGTTTTGTTTGTCTTGCTATAAAAGCTCTGCAGCAAATACATGAGTCCTTGGCATTGTTGGCTTTTCATTAATACCCGAGATAAAGCACAATGAGACAATTTGATCTGAAGCGCAGCTGGAGCCAAGAGGTCCCACCCCCTTTTCCACCCACCAGCGCACAAGCCAAGTGCCAGGACCTGCAGCTCATAGTGCTGGTGTCACTCTTCCCCCTCCTGCAATTTGCAAACAGCCCGGTGACGTAGCGGGGCTGTGATGTTTGCACAGCCTCCGCACTGAAGGGTTTTCTGAAATGAACTGGGGAGGAGTTGGTGGGCATGCATGCGAGTGTGATACTAGGCAGTGCAAGGGGAAGAGAAAATGCAGTAAGGCAGGAATGTTTTCTCATCAGATCTGGCTCAATGGGCTAGCAGGTGGTTGCAGAGGCGAGAGGACTGGCTTCTCTTTCACTTTGCAGGGTGGATGGAGCTGGAAAAGTCCTGGGAGCAGTCTGAGGAAGCAGAGGGATGCTCCTGCTGTTATGTCTCACCTAAAAGATGCCACTTACCATTGCTTACCCACCTACAGCCTCCTCTATCCACCTTTGCCTTTGCTCCATACTCTTGTAGCAGCACTCTAACCTGGGTGCTGCTTTGGCCATGGTGCTGTTCCCTGTCTGGGTGGGCAGGCAGCTGCCTCCTCCTGCGAGCAAATGGAGTGTTTCATCCATCACGTGCTGTGCAGAAACTAAGCTCTTCCTCTCTTTTCTATCACTTCATTTCATAATTTGCAGATTGCTTCATATCATCAGATCTGTCTTGTCATCTGACAGCACCTTCCACACTCTGCTTTTTCAAAATCTCCTGTGAAATTCACCCATTTTGAACAAATCACTTCTAAACACTTTGCTTCTGAAAAGACTTTTGAGCTATTTCTAGCAGAGTCCTGCCCCTTGTAAAGGATCAAAGTGTTTGTGGTACATATCAGACTTCCTAGGGTGTGCTTTGAGACCACCAGGGCTGAGACCAGGCACTTGCTCTTTGCATAGATGTGGCCCATGATGTTTAGTGCAGGCTGGAGTAGCAGTGATCTATGCCAGTACTTAGATATTGTGTTCCCTGCATGAAAGGACAACAGGAATGACTCACATTTGGTCTGCTGGAAGAGAAACTTGAAGATCTCCCTGAGAATTCAAGATCGCTTTGGGCTGGATTTTTGTGGCTGTCTTTGTTGATCCGTGGCATTGAGAGGGCTGGATGCTGATGTGTGTTTCTAACAAGGCTGGGAGCTGATGTATCTCTGAAACCTGGAGAAGAGGGTATGAAGGAGGAAGCTCCTTCAGCAAGGTGCACAGGACAGCGCTCTGTGTCTCTAGGGGGACTCCTGGCACAGGAGGCTGAATCGCTGCCCTAGGACCTTTCTCCTTAGGAGGGCGTTGGTCTGTACTGGGTGTCTGCAAGGACAGGAGGGAGAATTGCCAATCCCAGTACCCACCAGTGCAGGAACCTTGTGGGGACGAGAAGAGCCCTCACCACACCATTGGACCGTGGGGCTGGTGCCTTCCTCCCTGCAGCCTGCAACTGCGTCTCAAGAGGAAAGCAAGCAGCGGTCGGCTACTTGCTGATCGGGGAGTGCTAGCAGGTGACAGCGTATACAATAACACAGGTCTCCGATGGGATTTCCTTCACTCTGAATTACTTCCTCTGTACTTGCTGGTGTACGGATGCTTCACCCCTCGCGTGGGGCTGCAGTTGCAGAGGGCTCTGCCCTCGTGTCCATCACATGGCCGCCGGGCTGCGTGACTCACACGTGGCTGAAGGGGACGGCAGCGGGTGTGGGTGGCCACACACCCAGGAAGAAGGGCTGGAGACTACAGTAGCAGAGGCATTTTCCTGCTGTGACATTCCTCAGGGCTTGTATTACTCCGCTAAGAGCCCATGAAGCAAATGTCCATGACGGAGCTCTGTGCTCGTGTCCTCCTGGAGCCAGCTGTCCTCATCAGCAGCCTCGCGGGGTGAGGGGAAACGTCTCAAGCACCAAAATGTCCCTCTTTCAGACAGCCTTCTTCTGAGACACAGTTTGTAGAGCAGTTCCAGGCATGTGGGAAGTGTTTTCTGCTGGTGCACTTTGCCAAAATGACTGAAGGTTATCCAAGGGCTTGAATCTAGAGTTTGCTTCGTGCCGTGCATAACAGACATTTTGATTGAAACATTGGTGTCAGTGAAGGGAAACAAAACAAGCGGTTACTTTCCTGTCAGAAGGGAAAGATTTTGTTTGTTTGTTTGTTTTTCAGTCTCAGAAGTTTTCAGAGCTGAAGAAAGTGTAAATTTTGCTTGGCTGTTGCACCGTTTCATGGGAAATATTTATTAGCCCTAATACTTCAGGCAGCCAGTCTCTATTTTCTCGCTGGGGTTGCGTCAGTCACTGCAGTATCTAGAAAAATCCCCGCCCCCACAAAGCCCCCAGACATGTGATGGGAGGAACACATGGTGGCACTTTTCACAGTGGAAACGTCATGAGTTTCTTCACTTTGCCTGGAAGCAGCTTCCAGAAAAGCGTCACCAAGCACCCTTGTCTAACCGGTGGTCCTGAGGACGCTGCTCTCTGCAGGTACCGCAGGCTGCAGGCTCCCTGGCTGCCCACCCATAGGGTCCTTCTCCCCATGTGTCACCAAGATGCCAGGTCCCACACCCTGTCCCGCTGCTGGAGGGGGGCCACAGGGATGTAATACTGTAGTATGAGGAGTGGAAGCAGCACCTTTCCCCACACTTGGCATGTACAGGCTGCTGATGCACCATGAACAGCACAGTCACCAGAAGTAACAAGGGAGGGCTACTGAATAACCTGGTGTGTTTCAGCAGCTACATTGCCCTGTCTCTAGGTAATATTTTACTTCTGTTTTTAAGTTTCTGCTGTCCTCACATGACATTGCACTGGAGAATTAAATATGTTCTATCAAGCGTAGCGTGTGTGCAGGGAAAGATGCATAAGAAATCACAGAAGACAAACTGATAAAAATCCTTTAATTTTTGGTTCCCAGAAAATCCAAGCTCTCACAGTAATCTGTGCTATATGTCACTGACACTTCCAGAGCATACACTTCAGAGAGAAACAGGGTCTTGTGAAATGTGCAGGAGACTTAGCACTGGGGATGAAAGTCCTCAGCTCATCTGTGAAGCCAACCCAGGGGGGCAGCAGCCGTGAAATTTTCTTTTCACTTTGCTGCCAAAATGCCTTGGCTCTGACCCGGGGAAACCTCATCAGGAGAAGTACAATTCAGGTCATGGCTTGGCAAGCCCTTCACTGCATCAGGACTTTCAGGTTCATTGGGGGCAAAACTTAACCTCTTCTGCACACACATGGCAGCCCTCCAGTGCAGGGCTCTTGCACAAAAAAAAAAAGAAGAAAAAAAAAAAAGGCAATATGGCATTGCTATGAGCTTCATGTGTGCTAGGAAGTATTGCTGGATACGTGCATCCACAATGAGTGGGTAATCGTTTATGGGGTGGTGGGTAGGGCTTTAGGGCCAGTTGTGTGGCCCTAGGGCATC